ACAGTTTTCCTCCGCCTACCACCCACAGACCGACGGGCAAACTGAACGAATCAACTAAACCATGGAGCAACTCATTCGGACTATCTGTACTGACCCACAGACATGCGAGAAATCCCTTCTGCTACTGGAATTCGCGTATAGTAACGCGCCTTCCGCAACAACCCATCAATCTCCATTTTTCCTCAATCACGGATATGACCCAGTGGTACCCTCTGCACCAAACATCGAGACACCCGTGCCCCGGTCCCAGCGATTTGCCGAAGACATCTGAAAAAGCAGCTGAAGTAATCTGGAAAGCCAACCTGGTCGCAAGCCGACAAGCCGATCGTCATCGACGTGACGTTACTTACAAAGTGGGAGATCTCGTCCTACTCGACACTCGCAATTTGCGTCTGCCAATCCTGAGCAAACTCCGACCCCGATTCTGTGGCCCCTTTCAAGTGACAAATATGGTGACACCTGTCACCGCTCATCTCCGGCTCCCGGCGGATTGGCGTCACCACCCGGCTTTCCACGTCAGCCTGCTACGACCCTACATCCCAGTTCATCAGATTTGGCATGTCAACGCATGGTCCCAAAGCTGACACCTCTGCAGAAACCGACGACCGAGCCTCTGAACATTCTCGGCCATCGAGTCACAATGCAGCAGAACCGTCGCATGGTGGATTTTCTCGTCCGATGGCGCGATCGGACGTCTAAGGATGACACCTGGGTGCCCCTCGCTGACATCGAATCACACCCGATTCTAACAGCTTTATTAACAACGTCGGAATGTTTCCGATGTCCACGATCTCGTTTAGAGGGGGGGGGGGGGTAGTGTAAGGAATTTCCATTCCTTACTGAGTCGTACGTTAGCGCGTATACCCGAACTCTTCGACTCGTCACGTTTGGCCTTATTTGTTGGCCCAACCCTTTCCCGAGTCGCGTCAGGCACTGTCGCCACATTGCCGAACCTACCCACGTCCCGATGTTATATAACCTCGTGCCTTCATTGCAATAGCGACTTTGTATTCCCACGTTATATTTCATTGACACTTACTACTATATCATAACAGTGACACTCGCGAAGAAGATGCGTCCACGCTGTTACAGAACTTTGCTGATTTTCTGCAGCGGAGGTGCGATTGTCGTGAAATGAAGGCGCTCCGGGCACGAACCCTTGCGTTGCGCCTTTTCTTTCTTTGAGGGCTCCGAACCGCCCGTGGTCGTCGCAAGTGGTTCGAATCAAGCTCTACTGCCCCCACGGAGCCTCGTCGCGCTTCGAATGACGTACCTCAACATCAGGCTCGGATACCACTTTGCAATGCTTGCGGAAGCTTCTCCCCTGATCCCCTGGAGGCTGCAAATGGGGGTCCAGTAATTCCGCGTGTCGCGTCCACCTCTTCACGGCAGGGCGCTGAGAGTTGGCTTCTCAACTCCGCAATCGAAGCAATTTGCTGCGCCACGATTCTGTAGTCCGGAGTGTACCGAATGTTGCCACACGAACAGCTTCGGCGACACGAGAGTCAACTGTGCCTTGGGAGCCAAGTAGTGGCGTGCGATTTAGGTGGTTGCGATTGACCTAGCGACGCTTGCGCTGGGGCGAAGGGACGAGCTGAACCTGTCGCACACCCGTCATCGCCTCGCCACACCAGTGGATCGTGCAGTTCGATGCCGTGTGCTTGCACCCCTGCCCCTGGTTTTCGCAAGATACATAGCGCGGGGCGCAAGCCTGACCAGGGTATCCAATTCTTCAGCCATCAATCCCAGCAGCAACCAGCCCCCTCGCAACCTAGAACTCGGAGCCATCAGCTCATTTTTTTTATCAGAACGCGACTTCAATCCGTCACAAAGCAGCTCCAGCTCCAGCTTTCCTCGCTCTCGCATCCAAGTGCTCCCAGTAGTCACTCGTTTCCAGCAGACTTCCGCGCCAACAGTTACTAGTCTTATAGTTGCTTCAACGCAGGCTCACTTACGTGCTGCTCATTAGATATGGCAGCAATGGCAAAGACCGTTCTCTTTCTCGCGGTGGCGCTGCTCGCGGCTTCACTTCCTTCCGACGCCTTCCGCTCCTCTCGAGTCAGTATCTGATCGCGTACTCTTTATTCCCTAGTAAATGAAGGCGACTCCCGCTTCACTACCGCAATTTCGCACGCCTGCGATTGCTCCGGTGTCCGGCCAAGACAACACTAATTGTCAACCTTTTTGGGATAAACATTTGCGATTTTTATAACTCTTGGTGATTGCAGATGTTACAGGAGGACCATGACAAGCTCTTCCCCAAGCTTCCAAGCCTATCCGCCAGGGTGCGTGCTTTTGCGCGAAAGCAACATTTTGAGCACTCGTACACGAGCATTAACCACCACACTCATACCTCGAGCAATTATGTCCGCTAATCCGATTAAGCGCTTAATATCTGACCATCAGTTGCCACCCTGCACCCTCACGACCCACTCTGTTTCTGTCAGATTGTCGTTCCGACGACAGTGAAGGCGAAGCACGAGGAGAACGCAGCCACACCCGTTGCGGAAACCGGCAAGCCTACCATCCCCGCCGAACGCGGCACTCCCGCCGACCCCGCCCGTCCCGACACTCCCGCCGATCCCAACACTCCCGCCCATCCCGACACTCCCGCCAATCCTGCCACTCCCGCCGATCCTGCCACTCCCGCTGACCCCGCCACTCCTGCCGATCCCGCCACTCCGCCGAACCCTCTACTACCTCCAGCCCCGCTACTCCCTCTGACCCCGTACTCTCGCCACTCCCGCCACTCCCGCCGACCCCGGACACAAGTGGGAAACCGCGCAAGCCTCCGCAAGCGTTCCAGCCCCGGCCGAACCCGGCCCCGGCTGCCCGCCCACCGGCTCCGAGTGCGACTTTTACTTCACTGGCTTCCAGAACTCCGTCCCGACTTTCAAGCTGCCCGAGAACGGCGGTGACCAAGTGATCAGCCCGGCTATCGAGGGTTCGGTGAAGGGAAGCGTTGTGAATGTTATCGCGCTCAACTCGCAGACTTCGGAGTATATCTGCTTGTCGAACGGAACGACCCTCTACGACAACCAGTTCTACGTTGTTCAGGATGTGAGCTCCGCTGTTGCCCCCCCGATGCTCTACGTTTCCCTGGTTAATAACCTGATTTCCCAAGTTTCTTTCGATGTTTCACACATTTTAACCCCTTTTTTCCCCTCCCCGATGATGGCTGACCGGTATCCTCTATGCTTGTCTTCGCTGCTCGCAGGTTGTTCAAGTTCGGACGATCCAGCCCGAGGATAAGGGCGTGTTCAATGGGCTGTACGTAGGATCCCTATTTCGAGCGCGAGATCGAGGTGTACAACCAGGTCTTCAACCTCAACCCCGGCGATGGCTCCTCGTCTTTCCCCGAGGATCGCCGCTGCGTCATCTTCCTGACGTCTTAGACGCGCGCTCTTGCGTGATCTTCCAACGGTGGCTCGTCGCGCTTCGCTTTATGATTCGAGCCCTGCTGCCTGGTTGCGGTTTCAAGCCGCGTGTTAATTAAATCGAGCCTATGGCTGTGGCTTGGCTGTAGGTAGTCTGGTGTGCTCGACTCGCTCCGAGGGCTTGCTCCTCGCAGTCGAGGACTGGTCGGAGCGTCGGGAAATAGAATTTATTGGGAGGCTTGAGGGGGGGGGGGGGGGGGGTTCGATCTCTATTGTCTAAATTAGTTGCTGAAGTGGGGTAGGTGTAGTAATGTTGGGCCAGGCTAATCAAACAAATTATGTTGGGAATATCACTGGATTGACATGTATGCTTGACCATCCTGATTGCAACACATCAGCCACTAAGGATGGTACAAACGTGGCTCGCTGTTTGTACCCTGTTTTCAAGCAATACTTCCAACAAAAACAAGTATGGTAGTTGTCTTGAAACGTTACACTACTGCTTTCATGCAAAGGCACCTATCGCCAGCAGCAAAGCTAGCAACAAAAGGAGCCAAGGAAAGCTCCAACTGCAGTTGAGAAGGCACTGCGTCAGCAGACACCTGCAGTTGATCCATGGAGATAAATAGAATGGGAGGGAAGGGGAGTGAGCGGACGGGAGAAAAGCCAGCCTACAGCATAACCTAAGCGGGTGCCAACCAGGTATGAGGATTCTGTTAACATGTCTGCTTGTCTGGCTGTAATGGAGAAAGAAAAGTTAGCAGCAGCAGGCTTGTTGCATGAATCTAGAAGGCACTGCTTGTTTTGCTTTCTGCGGTTTGAGGGAAGCTTACTTCGTGAAAGCCATGCTTTCGTAGAAGGCCGTTCTGCATGCATGGTTGCACACAGTCTCTCTCTCTCTCTCTCTCTCTCACACACACACACACACACACACACCCACACACACACACACACACACACACACACACAACGCACGCACGCACGCACGCACGCACGCACGCACGCACGCACGCACGCACACACACACACACACACACATGCACGCACAGGCATGCACCCCACACGCACACGCGCACACAGGAACGAGTGAGTTAGACGCAGCTGTATTGTGACACTAACAGAAGACTTGAACGCAGAGTTCACGAATGGCGAAAAAGACAGATGCAGACCAGAAAGGTAGGCAGGAAACCGAGGGAATTGTAGGCGGAGAGCACACATACTAAGCATAAGGCCGAAGGAAAGTAGAGGGAGTGAGGGAGAGAGGGTGGTGTGCGGATGAGGAGGGAGTGCGGGTGCAGTGTGGGATGCACACACCTGGCCCCTATAGTTGAGGCGCCTCAAAAACAGACTCCTCACGTGAAAAAGAGAGGGTGGTGTGCGGATGAGGAGGGAGTGCGGTTGCAGAGGGGGAGCCGCACGCACCTGGCCCCTATAGTGAGCAAGTGCACGGCGCCTCGGCCTTGCACTGACTTGAGCAGCTCTGATACCAATTTGGAACCTATGCCATGGCCTCTGGAGGAAAGGGAACACACATGGAGAGAGGAGTTGGGGAGGCAGAGGGGATTGTGAAATGGGAGAGAAGGCAAGGTTGGAAACTGGGTAAAGGCAGAAAAGGGTGAGAAGCATGGGCATCGGAAGGCACTGGCATGGGAAGGCAGAGCCCCAGGTCTTACCGCATTCTGGCAGCACGACCAGGCTCCTCAACTCCATCAGAGGCCCTGCTCCTGCCCCTACCCGCCTTCTGGCTTCCACTCCTTCATCTGCCCTGCGCCCACCAACCGCCACCCTGCTTCCACCTCCCCCTTCCCTGCCCCTCCGGCACCCTCTCCTGCTGCTGCTGCTGCTGCTGCTGCTGCTGCTGCCTCTGCCACCACGAAGCGCCGCACGTCCAGACTGAGGGGATTCATGCTGTTTGAGAACGGGACATGAGGAAAGGGGTAGGGGACACGGGGGAAATAGGGGGGGGGGAAAGGGGGGGAAAGGGGGGGAAAGGGGTGGGGGAAAGGGGGGGGGAAAGGGGGGGGGAAAGGGGGGGGGAGGGGGGGGGAAAGGGGGGGGGAAAGGGGGGGGAAAGGGGGGGAAGTGGGAGGTGATGGGTGTGATGGGGAGAGGGGGTTGGGGAAGGAGGTCGGGATGAGATATGGCACATGCAGATGTCCCTGTCTGGAATCTCGTCAGCAGCATTGCTTAGGGGCAATGCTTGGAAGGGCAATGCCTAGAACGGCAAAGACTCGAAGGGAAAGGATGCAAAAGGCAAGGTTTCAGACGGCATGGCTAAGCAATGGCTGCCGTGCAGGGGGGCTGGTGCTTACAATTCTGACAGCACCAGTCGCTGAATCGTCCCCATGTCCGCGGGGGTGGCTGGGCGGAACCGAATGGCGGGAGCGGGTGTGCCGCCGGGGGAGCGGCACCCCCTTCGGGGGACTGTGCGGACGCGGATGCGCGAGAGGCGGGGAAGAGCGCGGGGACAATGCGGTGTGTTTCGTGGTGCGCGGTACGCGGGGGAAGATGGTGGCGGGGGGAATGGCGCAAGCTGCTGTTGCGCGTGCTCGCGGTGAAGAGCGAGGGGGCGAGCGGAGAAGGACGCGCGCGGGGACGTACGGGGAACGGCGCGTGCGGCATTGTGCGGGGGCGTGCGCGGGGCAATGCGCACAATATCCACCGGCGCGAAATGCGGGGAGCAGAGGTAAGATAGGGCCGCCATTTGGGGGACTAGCGCCAATGGTGGAAGACGAGAAAATGCGGGGAAGAACGTGAAAATGCGGCAAGCGGTAAGGATTCGGAGGGGTGAAAGTTGGAGGAGGAAAAGGAATGGGAATGGCACTAGGCTCGATATAAAGCTTCGCCAACTGTTGACTTCAAGGCACACCGGTAACAGATTCGGAAGGCGGAAATTGAGATCAACGCTCAGCAACTTTGATACAACGAAGGTCAAATACAACCTCATTGTCAAGCTGAGAGAATGAATTGAGTTTCACATGCAGGACAAATTTCCTATATTGGTGTTGTCACCTCTATATTCTACATCTAGCTAGCTTACGGTACATATATTTGCGTTAACACACACCCTAGTTTAGATTGGGGCAGAGTCTAGCAACAAAACAAACACAGTAAGCCAGAGCAGTACTAGTAGTCTGACCTTTGGTGTATGTAACAAACGGCTCAGGGTAGCACTACTAGTATGACCACTGAGACAAGGGCTAGAAGGCCAATCAGCAAGAGTATCAAGACAAACCGGTATAGCCCAACATATACAATGCATGATACAAGCAAGTGTGAGGCAATTAGGACTAGGCCTAGCTGAGTACAAAACACTGATGATCACGAATCCCAAGGGCCTTGGTGAAGATATCAGCAATATTGACCTTCTGAGGCCAGTTGTACTACGCGGGCCTGACCACGCTGCTACAACTGCCGCAACAGGAAGTATCGCAGCTGGATGTGGCCTTGCCCTACGATGGAAATACCTCAAGGACTTAAGCATTTCTGAAGCGTAACACCACACTCGAGTAAAGCCGTATCCAGTATGCGAGTCAACGGAGGTTACACGAGGAGGTTGGACGAAAGAACACGAAAGGACGAATGACTCGAAGGGTCGCAACCGGAGGTTGCGACTGACCGTTACAACTGCAGGGGTGGTAACCGAATCGACCATCGAGTCGCTGTGCGACTCGATAACCGTTCCTTCAACTGTATTCTACAACTGCTTTACCTTCCTATTTTCTATATATTGCTGTATGCTTGTTTCTTTCAATCAATCACTTGCTCTCACATACTAGTGCAAGGGTTCAACTACTCAACTTCCGCTGCACTACTCAAAGTCTCCTTTTACAACTGGGACTTAGTCTCTGGAAAGATCCTAAGGGCATTTCTCAGCCCAACATGGTATGAGAGCTGGTCAGAGACCAAACCCCCAGCAACTACGCTCTATCTACAATCAAGACACCAACGACTTCATTGATTACAAGTCATGGACAACAAGGGCAAGAAAACCTTTACGGGCTCACCCAGTGCCCAAGACACTCAACCCGGCAACTCTGGACTGCACACTTGAGGACTGCAAACCGAGACCAGCGCTGCTCAAGAAACAACAGGAAGAGCACCAGAAATGGTGACCCCATCACCCTCTTCAACTCATCGTTCGGCGACACAATCAAGCCGCCTACCTTTGCGCCTTATCACTCTTCATCGGGGACGTTCGAGTTCATGCCGCCCCGTGCCCAACCAACAGCAGCTGCATCACAACAGACACCAAATGAGATACTTAGTCTCCAGGCGCAGTTTTCACACGTGATCAAAATTGCAGACATCCTCACCGTTCAACGGACACGACTTCTTTACCTGGAGCTTTGAGTTTGAGCTGCTGATGGAGGCTGCACATCTCTTGGGATACTTCAACGGGTCCCTGCCATTTCCAAGCAATGGCACTGCGAAAGAGCAAGAATTTTTTACGTATCAGTCGCTGTTGGCGTACACAATCCTCCTGCGGAACCTGTCACCACAAGAGCGGCAAAGCATCAGAACGTAACGAAGCTATGGAAACTCCGCGGAACTCGCATGGCATCACCTCAAGTGTCTCTACCAAGCAAACGACAGCGTGACACAAAGCAGACTTATGCAGCAACTGACAACAATACAGATGAAGACCAGAGAAAAGGCGATGCAGTATATGAGTCGATGCCAGACCCTCCGCGACCGCCTGCTTCGGTGCGGAGGAACAATCACTGAAGAAAGCTTCGTGACGCTTGTCCTCGCTGGGCTCGGGCCAGAATGGAGAACCACCCGCTCGCTCCTTCGCGCCCACGGACGAATCTCGGAGATGCACCTCTGCGCCGAGCTCCATGCTGAACAACAGGAGATGGACCTGTTTGAAGAAAGACAACCAAGGAAGCAGCAACCGTTAGTCTTCTACACTCAACGAAGAAACGACAACAACTACAATCGACGCGGCAAGCAAGAGCAACGCGACAACAGAGGACTCACCATTGTGCCGCCGTTCTGCCACAACTGCAAAACATCCGGACACTCCAAAGTCAATTGCAGACGTCCCCGAGCTTATCGTCCAGTAGACCCACAAGTCGCCTCCACTCAAGAAAGCCCACCGAGACGTTCCTCCTCATCTGCACAAGGCACACAAAACATCATCAATTGCATGATACACATCGACAGCTCCGCACCCGGATCACCACCCACTTACGCTCCAGACGAAGAAGAACTGCCGCCGCCACGCTCACAAGGACTTCAGGTTAACCCGACATACGCTGCAGTCGCCAACGCCGAACCCACCAGACGAAACACCTGGTTCTTGGATAGCTGCTGCGGTCAACACATGTGTTCTTCCGGGCGCTTCGTGCAGCGAGAGCGACGCCTCAACCGTGATGTCATCATCACTGTCGCCAACAACGAGAACCTGAAAACAAACAGACAAGGCGTCGTTCAGCTTCAGTCAATGGAGACGAACGTCATACTCCAACTCAACAAAGTTCTAATCGTCGATAACTTGGGATACAACTTACTCAGCGTCAGCCAGTTAATGGCAAAAGGTATTCACCTGGAATGCGACTCGGACTCCAACGAATTTCGTCTTTACCACGGGAAGGGCGGTCTCTTCATCGGTCGCGCTCTCCTGAAGTCCGGCGTCTTCGTGTTGGATTTCGTCCCCGACCGCGGTACTGCCGACAGCGATGGCATCGTGTCATTCGCAGCCTGGTCGCACCCGCCGGATCTTGACCCCGACTTCACCCCAGATGGATACTGGTACTCCAACACCATACCTGCCGCAGAAAGAACACGAGCGTTAGCAGTCATCAGACAAGAAAGACAAGTACCAGCAAGCGTCTCTTCCCAGACATCACCTGCAGGAGCAGCAGCAGGACCCAGCCGAGTACCATCACCAGCGATCCGAGGACCGCCAACCAAAGCAGATCAACTTATGCCCATCACACGCGAAGTCTGCCGAAGTTCCGCCACGGTCGTCGCGTTCTTCTCCAACGCCGACATGTACCAACGCTCGCCCGGCCATCGCGCCCCCGACGACATCTGGCACCAACACCTTGGGCAACCTGCAAACAGCACGGTACTACAAACCATCCAAGCCGAAGTGTTAGAGAGAAACGCTCTTCTTACAACGAGCGGCCAAGAACTTCGACGACCACGCGTACGGTGCTTCACGTGTCCTGAAGCTGATCTTCCTCACCAACCTTTTCCATCACATCACAACCCAAGCGCACCTGCATACGCACCGATGGAAAAAGTTTACAGCAACATCTTAAACATGCCTCGAGACGACACTGAAGCCGACTCCAACTACGTCATCACGTTCATCGATGCAGCAACAAGATATGTCTGGCACTACAACCTCAAGACGCGCGATCAAGCTTTCGAAGCCTTCACGACGTGGCTCCCCATCGCTGAACGAGAATCAGGAACCAAGCTCAAGAGCTTCCAGTCAGATGGCGAACTGGAATACCAGTCACAACGATTCAGGAACTACTTGGCGGAAAGAGGAATCAGACGCCTGGTGTCTCTGCCCTACGCTCACCAGCAGCAGGGGGTCGCAGAAAGAATGAACCGGACCTTGTAGACGACGATGCGGAAGCTGCTCCTGGGGATGAGACTGCCCAACACACTGTGGCCAGACGCGATGACCCATACAGTCCACCTGCACAATTTGTTATCCTCGTCCTCGCTTCCCAACAATGCATCACCGCACCTGCTGTGGACACGAAAAAGGGGCAGCACAAAATTACTCCGGGTTTTCGGCTGCATGGTACAATACAGACCCCACACAGCCCGAGGAGGAGATTCACTCAACGAGCACGGTGGGGATTACACCTCGGCATCGCAAAACATTTTCAAGCATGGAAAATCCTCGACATACAAGACAAAAATACCGTGGCATCACGTGATGTGATCTTCTACGAACGACTGACGCTGCAGCATTACCTGGACAACGTCGCCAACACAGACGACCCCACCGACGGTGTCGCAGGCCTTCGCTCCTTCGCCGACCGTGCTGCCGAGGCTGACGCAGCAGAAGAAGACGTACCTGGAGCTTCGGAAGCTGCCGAACCACTCCCTTACTGTTCCGTGCCTGTTCCACTCGACGAAGACAATCCTCTCGATAGCAACAACCTCGATACCCTTTACCACTTCGCTGACCAAGGTTACGTTACACCTCACCCGGTCGACACAAATGTCTCAGAACGCATCGGCCCAAACTTCTTACCTGATCCAGAAGATGGTAACGAAGCAGCCTATTCGGGGAATGAAAATTCCCCTCGACACGTACCCACGGGACTGCAGATACTCGGCTTATGGGTCTCCGTCCAGCATCCGCCGCCGCCGTCTCCGCACGAGCCAACGACCCTGTCGCAGGCTCTGGGGGGGGAACACAAGGCGAAATGGAAGGAAGCAATGGAAAAAGAACTAAAAGCTCTGCAAGACCGAAATACATGGAAGCTGGTACCTGCAACGAACATCAACGGGAAGAACGTTCTCTCGGGAAAGTGGGTGTACCGCATCAAGACCAATGCGGACGGCTCCATCGAACGATTCAAAGCTCGCTGGGTCGTACGAGGATTCGATCAACGATACGGAACCGACTACACAGAAACATTCGCCCCAGTCTCCCGTCACACCTCCTTGCGCATCCTACTCGCCGTCGCGGCCACGAAGAAACTACCACTGCGCCAGATCGACGTCGCAAATGCTTTCCTGTACGCACCTGTGGACGCCGAGATCTTCGTCGAGCAGCCCCACGTATTCATCGACGACCCCACAAAAGTATGCCAGCTGATAAAATCCCTTTACGGGATCAAGCAAGCCCCGCGGCTTTGGCAGCAGCACCTTCACGGTCGCCTCGTCAGAATCGGATTCCTACAGTTGCCGCACGACCAAGGCATGTACCGACTACAGAAGGAAAGGGAATTTATCCTACTCATCGTCTACATCAACGACCTGCTCTACATCGGCTCCACTACCGACATTGCCACCTGGTTCGAAGGGGAGCTGAAAAAGGACTTGACACTCACGGTGTCTGACACCGTAACCCAGTACCTGGGTCTGAACGTCGTCGAAGACAACTCGACGTTCTACCTATACGCTGGAAAATACGCCGGCGTTGTCGCGAAGAAATTCGGACTAACACCGACTACAGTCACGACTCCCTACCGCTTCGGGAACAACAACGACACCTCCGCAAAACTCCCCGCGAAGCAAATCCAGGAATATCAGCAGAAACTCGGCTGCCTACTATTCGCAGCAGTAACCTGCCGATCGGACCTATCTTACAGCGCGAGCCAACTGGCGACGCATCTAAAGCAGCCGGAACAAGAAGATCTCGAGGAATTAAATCGGGCACTACTCTACTTCGTCTCTACGCCGACGACCGGACTTACCTACAGTAAAACAACGACACCGTCCGTACAACTGATCGGATACGTCGAGGCCGATCACGCGGGAGACAGGGAAAATCGACGATCAAGGACGGGCTACATCTACCGACTAGAGCCTATCGGGACTATCTCCTGGCAGTCGAGCAAACAGGAACTAATCGCACTATCTTCGGCTGAAGCAGAATATATCGCCCTCTGCACTACGACCAAGGAAGGACTTTACCTGCGAGAGTTACTCGAGGAAGCAAAGATTGCGACCCTGCCCGTCTTCTCACTCCTCTGCGACAACCAATCTGCGATCAAAATCACGAACAAGGACGGCTTCGCAAATCGAACCAAGCACATCGCTCTGCGGTACTTCTTCATAAAGGATGAAATCGCGAAGGGGAGACTTCAACTCAGTTACTGCCCTACGACAGAAATGGCCGCAGACTACCTAACGAAGAAACTGGCGAATGCAAAGTTCGATTACTGCATGGTGCTGACCGGGCAGACAAACGTCACCGGATCTGAACACGTCAGCACTCCAGAAACGAAGGGGAGTGTTGGAAATACCTCAAGGACTTAAGCGTTTCTGAAGTGTAACACCACACTCGAGGAAGATCGTAACGGGTACGCGAGTCAACGAAGGTTACACGAGGGAATGGACAAAGAACACGAAAGGACTCGAAGGGTCGCAACCGGAGGTTGCAACTGACCGTTACAACTGCAAGGATGGTAACCGAAGCGACAATCGAGTCGCTGTGCGACTCGATAACCGCTCTTCAACTATTCTACAACTGCTTTACTTTCCTACTTTCTATGTATTGCTGTATGCTTGTTCTTTTTAATCAATCACTTGTTCTCACAAACTAGTACAAGGGTTCAACTACTCAACTTCCGCTGCACTACTCAAAGTCTCCTTTTACAACTGGGACTTAGTCTCTGGAAAGATCCTAAGGGCATTTCTCAGCCCAACACAGGCCATAAGGCATTTCGCAACCTTTTGACATTGGTGCGTTCAGAGTCGAGTGCTTTCCAGCACGTCTTGTCTTTGATGATCCGTGAAATTGTGTTGCGGTCGCACCACTGGTCGTATATTGTGCGGCACCGCTGGGCCAAGTCGGCGAGACGTAGCTTGGGGTGTTGCTTGGAGTACTCGCAGATGACGATTTTCTGCGCCACTCTGATTGAAGCGCGCCGTACTAGAGCCATCCTGACTCTGTCCTGATTGCAACTCTTGTTTGGACCCCGCTCAAGCGTAAATACGCCCATGCTTGAGAGCCTCAACGTCCGTAGGGCTGACGATTGGCGTCCCTACTAGCATGATGCCATTGGGCGCGAGTGACGGATTTCGTTACGCAATGGGGCTGATTCCGTCACCGCAGATAGCGTGCGTCGATTCGTTGTCGTGCAACAAGGGCCAGATTGTGATCACGTGGATCTTCACAAGGTCATGCAACGACACATCAACGCCCTTTCGATTTGGAATGAACGCCGACCAATCAATGCTTCGCCTCGGCCATGGGGATCGATAGTCTATTGGTTTTGCAGTAATTATTTTATGCTGACGTAATAGCAGTGTTATTGGCGGGTTACAACTTTACGTGTGTATGTGGGGTCTGCACATACCGAATAATTGTCCCCGTGCAAACTTTGAGCTTGTCGTCGTTGCACATATAACATATGACCGTAACATGGCTGGGATGAATGTGATAGAAAGCGTGAGAACCCACTCACAGTAATGTATGATTTATGAAGTAAAAACTCTGCTGAGGTGCCGTAAGGACGCGTTCTTAACGCGCGTCATCTGTGTATGTCATGAATTTGACACGAAGAAGAATAGATTGCCATGGGGCAAATTTGGCACCTGTTGTCAGATCTTTGGGCAATGTCTGACACAAGGTTTACTGACACGTTCGGCTGACATGCATTAAGAACACGCCCGAGGCTAGTTCCAATGAAGACTTCGTGATAGGACTTACTTTCGTTTTTGGGGCACTAGATTCGGGTATCTGTCCAAAGCTGCTCGTCAAAATCAGGACTCAATACTCTGTTACGTAAAAAATTACCTCTCCAATCGGGGTTCCAGTTCATGTTCTATTTCCCCTCAGAATCCTGATTCAAACCCTGTTTTGTAGTCACGAGTCGACATCTGGGCTTGACGGAACGCTCACTCATTGTTTTCATAACCATGAGAACAATAACGAGTGGTGGTACCCGTTGAAAAACTAATCTCTGTTCTGTGCTGCGAACAACATCTGTCGGTGGGATGATGTGGTGTTTGAGGCAGTGGAAGATCACGAATCACATGCACTATAGCGAACCACATGCGCATGCTCTGCACCGCATCCGTAAGCTCTGATGGGCCGTGGGATTCTTCTTCTAGGGCTTTTTTACGCACGGATAACTAACCGGAATTAGGCAAAATACCGGGTGACGTTTCGTCCGACTCCGAATTCTGTCGTATTCTCTTTTCAGCACCCGTAAGTGACATGTTCGGGGTGCGGATAACACTGACTGAAACGGATCTTAGCGCTACAAAATCCCCAGTTCCCCACACTCCAACCACCCCCCCTCTCCGTTCCCCTCCCATCCCTCTCTACATCCCCCCACTTCTAGAATACATTACAGGTCATATTCGAACTTCACAAACTCTGCTAAGCATGTTTTAGCGCATTAAGCGAAAAATTGGCCCGTGGTTAATCCTTGATTTGCGACTACTTGCGCTTATTGTCGTTGCACCTCTCGCATGTGACCTGTATACTACCTGAGATTGGATGGCGGCTCATAAGAGTGAGAAGACTCTGGGCCGGCAAGGAGTTTACATAAGTGGAATTGTGTGTTTCGTTCTCGCGAAGCCTTTGAACGGGAGTGACTCCACTTTGTAGATGGAGCAATTTTGGGCTACGAGATGCTACCCGGATCTGACGTTCCTTTTTCCCCCCCACCCGACTTCTGACGAGTGACTTTTAAGGTACATTCTTATGTTCCGGGTCTCCCTAGAGGGGTACCCGGATCTGCCGTGTGGACGAAAACCTGAAGGTAGGCTCTCTACACTGCGTAGAGCATCGAAAGAACGGGCAGGTGGGTTCATAACGACTGGGCAATTTGAGACGGGTTTGAGACCAGTCAGTAGGATCTCTAGTAAGGATATGTGTGGCTAAAAACGACAAATGTCGTTGCAGGTGAATCGTACACAGCTCGTCAGTTCCACTTCATACTGGAACTTGGAATTGGACTTACTGTACGTCACCTACAGTATTCTATGGATTGCATTGGAACTGGCTAGCTCCAAGCACTATATATGGTTCACGCACCTCTCAACATTGACATGCTATAAACCCGGAAATTTTCGGGTCAGAAGGGCAGATGAACCAAACTGCTGACTGCCCATAGTTCAGCACGAAAAGATGGGCGGGCCCATTTCTGTCACCAGAACTCTGCGGGATGGGGCGGGGGACCAGTTCAGAAATTAGCCAAGTCTAGCCAGTGGGCCTTGGCGCTTCTCTCGAACCCCATTGGCCAGTCTTGGCATGGCTGTCAGCGCAATCCCAAGCTTACTTCACCGCAGATATTTATTCTGAACACCCACCTCCCCTTCGACTTCGGCGCGAGAGGTTCGGGTGAAAGGGTTTAGGCACTACAGTAAATCCTTTTTTCCTTACCCTACGGAAGGACTAGCACGTTCCACCCCAGAAATTTTACAACTTCAAAACTTTGTACCTTCCCCAATGAGCTGGCAGGCTGCGGCCACCTCAATTGCCCCACCCACACTTCACTGCTCAAAACGCAAAGCGCGTTTCCTCCCTCTTCTGCTTCATCCCTCTCTACTTCTGTGGTCCAGGATAACCGAACCTGGATTTCACCCTTGTTCTGCATCTGTAGCTCGTCGGCCAACAGGTCCCCCAGTAGTCCCTATGGAGTGCTGACATCAGTTAGTCTGCAAGAGAAGTTATATCACGTTTGGAGGTTGATAATCTTGGCGGGAGTTGCATTTACCAATTCGATTACTCCCATCTTCTCATGGCTGACGGTGTAACGTTCCCGTTCTTGCGGCAAGTCGGCTCCCTCTGGACCTCAGAGGTGATTCATCTCTCCCTGCCCGCTTGACTTCTCGCTTTTCCGCCATCCCACCATCGCGGAAAGTCTGCGACTGAAATGATACGGAAGCGTATTACTCGTGTGTTACTAGAACGCCACGATTTTCGCAAACTTCGGAGTCCCGCGTCTCTCTCTCTCTCTCTCTCTCTCTCTCTCTCTCTCTCTCTCTCTCTCTCTCTCTCTCGCTCTCTCTCGCTCTCTCTCGCTCTCTCTCTCTCTCTCTCTCTCTCTCTCTCTCTCTCTCTCTCTCTCTCTCTCTCTCTCTCTCTCTCTCTCTCCTCTCTCTCTCTCTCGCTCCCCCTCTCGCTCCCCCTCTCGCTCCCCTCTCTCTCCCCTCTCTCTCCCCCTCTCTCTCCCCTCTCCCGCCCTCTCTCCCCCCTCTCTCTCCCCCTCTCTCCCTCCCTCCCTCTCTCTCCCCCTCTCTCCCCCCTCTCTCTCCCCCTCTCTCTCCCCCTCTCTCTCCCCCCCTCTCTCCCCCCCTCTCTCCCCCTCTCTCTCCCCCCCTCTCCCCCCTCTCTCCCCCTCTCTCCCCCTCCTCTCCCCCTCTCCCCCTCTCTCTCCTCTCCCCCTCTCTCTCCCCCTCTCTCTCCCCCTCTCTCTCCCCCTCTCTCTCCCCTCTCTCTCCCCCTCTCTCCCTCTCTCTCCCCCTCTCTCTCCCCCACTCTCTCCCCCTCTCTCTCCCCCTCTCTCTCCCCCTCTCTCTCCCCCTCTCTCCCCCCCTCTCTTCCCCCTCTCTCTCCCCTCTCTCCCCCCTCTCTCTCCCCCTCTCTCCCCCTCTCTCTCCCCCTCTCTCTCCCCTCTCTCTCCCCCTCTCTCTCCCCTCTCTCTCCCCCTCTCTCCCCCTCTCTCTCCCCCTCTCTCTCCCCCTCTCTCTCCCCCTCTCTCTCCCACTCTCTCTCCCCCTCTCTCCCCCTCTCTCTCCCCCCCCTCCCCCCCCCTCTCTCTCTCTCACTCTCTCTCTCTCTCTCTCTCTCTCTCTCTCTCTCTCTCTCTCTCTCTCTCTCTCTCTCTCTCTCTCTCTCTCGCTCTCTCTCTCTCTCCACTCTTGCTTTTTAAATCCCCCTATCCGACCTGCATTTCTCGGCTAACGCGCCGCGTCCCGCATTGTTCGTCGCGCAGGAGGATCTGGTGCTCTTGCGCCACGTGGCGGTGCACGGGACCAAGTACTGGGGTTTCCTTCAAGCGTCCGGTACTCTGCCGCATCGGGACCAAAAGGCGTGTTGCAACCGCTTCATACTGCTCAAAAAGTGCGACTCCTTCTCGCCAGCCTCACAGCGGTCCTGTTTTGGCACGAGCTTCGTCTGACCCGCTGTTTCTCTTATTTTTCCCCTTCTTTAGTACCCCTACCCCCCCTCCTCTCCCCCTCCCCCACCGCTTCTCCCCCCCCTCCCCCCCCCCGCCCGCCCTTTCTTCCGCACCCTCTTTTTCCCATTTCCCCCCATCCAACCTCTTCCGCCAAAACATCTTTATACCGCACTCCCAGTCGGACTCATCTCCATCCGCCGCTGCTTCTTGTGTACGCATGGTTTTCGCGCATTTTCGGTCCTAAACATACGGCCGGTAATTTGCCGTGCTCGACAAACTCAATCGCGTGTGTGGGCGCCCGCCCCTGCGTTGTCCCGCGTCGTCTTTTGCTGCGCAGGCGTCATTTTCTGGAGCGAGGGAAGGACGTCGCGGCGCGAGGCCGGCAGCACCAGGCCGCGTTTCCCCGGGATGACCGCGCCATCGCCTCCTCGGTCCTGCAGCTGCCGTGCGACTCGTCGTCGTCCCCGGCGAGCGACTCCCACTCCATGCGATCGCGTGGTCCGTCGCACGCGGCGGCGGCGGTGACGCCTTCTGCGACTGCGACAGCGACGGCGACGGTGGATGGAGAGTCGCAGGCGAGCGCGTGCAGGACGGACTCGGCGGCGCAAAGCAGCCAGCGGCTGATGACATGGGCCGCCACGGCGGGGCGGAAGCTCCAAGGCGAGCTCAAGCGATGCCGCGAGGAGAGCGCTGCGGCTGATGCTGCTGCTGGTGCTGCTGGTGGTTCTGTTGCTGGTTCTGGTGCTGGTGCGACTGGCCCACGAGCTCAGATGACGATGATGGGCGGGAAAGATACCTCTGTTTCCGTGGCGAATCAACTCCGAGCTGAATGGATGGAGCACCATGCTCGCTACTACGGTCACGGTCTCGGCGGTCATGGCGGTCATGGCGGTCATGGCGGTCATGGCGGTCACAGCGGTCACGGCGGTGGCTCTGTCGTGGCGGTGGCGCTGTCTTCCGCTTCGCAGTATCATCTCGCCCTGGCACGTGGCGGGGTGGGCAGCGGCGGCCATGAAGTCGGTTCCCAGTGGACCCGGAGGTGCGTTTCAGTGAACGAGCCGCGCGTCAACATTGTGTCGAGTCGAGTCGGATCTGTGCGCGGTCTCGCGGCTAACCGCGACGCGCACAGATCCACCCCAAGCTGGGGGAGAATACGAGGACTCCTGGTTGTTGCAGCTCGAGCCCCTCATTGCGCCTAGTATGGCTGCGACAACCAGGAGTCCTCGTATTCTCCCCCAGCTTGGGGTCGCTGTCGCCGTCGCCGTCGTCGTCGCTGCCCTCGTCGTCGCGACCTCGAGTCCCCTTGCGTTTCTCTCTCACCATCCGTTTGCTGAAATCTCTTTCCCTTCTCACCTCTCCTCCCCGCCATTCCGTTCCCCGTCCCCGTCCACGCAGGGTCAAACCGCGCCTCGACGCCGCGAGCGACGCGCCAGCCTTTTCCGCACCCCGTGCGTCTGCAAACCGCGCCGTCCCGTCGTCGCACTTCGCTCTCTCCAACGCCGCTACCTCAAGCGCCGCCGCCGCCGCGAGCGCCGACTTCGACCTCGCTGTTCGCCTGTTCCCGTCTCTTAGCAAGGCTTTCGCGGGGGCGCCTGTTTCGACTTTCAAGGAAGCGACGGCAGACACGGAAACAGCCGTAACTGCGGCGGCGGCGGCAGCGACGGCGGCGACAGCAGCAGCAGCAGCAGCAGCTACGTCCATGGCGTGCGCTCCGTCGCCGATCTCCCGCCAGTTACTCCTCTCCCCCGCGCAATCCGCCGCCGCGCTCTCGTCCTCCGCCCCCGCTCACGCATCCCCTGCTGCCGCTGCCTCCGCCTCCATCTCCGCCGCCGCCTCCGCGAGCAACAGAGGCGGAAACGCGTGGGCGGGTGCCCGGGCGCCTTCGGGGTCGTGTCAGTCGTTGGTGCCGTCGTCCTTCTCGCCGTCGCACCTTCCGCCGTACACAGGCGCGGCGCAGGGCAAGAAATGGGGGTATTGGGGGAACAACGGTCGGGGGGAGGTTGTGGATAGAGAGGAGGTATGCATGGTGCAGTGCGTGCCTGGGAGGAGGAAGGGCAGGGGAAACATGCAGGAGCAAGTGGTTCCCAAGAGCACCCTCACTCACCACCACAGACTCAACCACTTGCCGTTGGACCCCCCTGCTGCCGCTGCACCAGCTGGCGCCGCCGCCGCTGCCATCGCCGCCGCCGCTGCTGCTGCTCCTTCTGCCAAAGCTGCTGCTCTGGCTTCTGCCCTAAGGTCTCGGCTGCCTGGTTACTCGCCATTTACCGTGCCGATGTCGTCAACACATTCTTATTCTGCAGCACCGCCTGCTGCTCCTGTCAGTGGTGCTAGCTTCGCTGCTGCACCTTCTGCCATCCCCACTGCTGCTGCTGCATCTGGCGCCATGGCATCAGCGCAGCAAGCACCTGGGAGGCAGCGACTGGAGCACAAGCCAACGCGCATGCTCCCACCAGCCAAGGCTGCGAGTGTGAAGGTGAATGATGGTGGGGGGGGAGGTGGGGAGGCGTGGGAGAGAAGCAAGGAGGAAGGCGTGTTTGGGTGGATGTATGGAGGCGGTGCAGGGCCAGAGCAGCTGCAGGCGCTGCTGGTGTCTGTGGCGGGAAGTGTGAGGGAGGAGGAAGGGCAAGGACTGGAGGTGAAGGATGAGTCGCTCACAGGCATGAATGTGGTGGATGCTGGTCATGCTACACATGGCACAAATGGTTCCGGAGGAGGGGATGGGGGTGCAGTAACAGCAGCAGCAGCATCCGTGGGAGCAGTGATGAGAGCTGCTGCGGCTGGGGAAGGGCAGGGAGACTCAAATGTTCTACTTGATGCGATGCTGGATGGGCTCTGCGACCTTCTGGTCCCTAATTGGGACCCTTGTGCCTCAGCTGCTCTCCCTCCTGCTGCTGGTACCACTGTTAACGCTGATACCGCCACTGCACCTGCTGCTGCTGCATCTGCTTTTGCTGGTGCGACTGTGGCTGATGTGGCATCGTGTGAAGTGCAGGCAGATCAGGATCAGCTGCAGTTTGTGGCGCATCTGTTTGAGCAGCACCAGCAGGTGCAGCAGGTGCAGGGAGCATGGGAGCACGGGGGGCACAAAGAGCAGGATTGGATGCTGACTGCAGCCACGCACAAATCCACACGTCTGGATCATTCACAACCGTACCAGTTGACAACGCCAATGCAATTTGCGCCTCGATCCGTGTCGTCCCTCCTGACAGTTCCTGAGGAACCCAGCCTTGTCTCTCGGAGGGTGCCTCAGTCCCTCCCTGGCACGGTTGGTCATCATACCTGTGTTGTTCCCAAATCGCCCCCACGAGCCTCACACATGGAGGTTGGAAGGGAAATGCATGGCGATTTCTTTGAGAAAGAAATCTTCTCTCGGCCTGATTTGCTTCTGGAGAGAATGGCAGCTGCCCGCACTTACCATTAAGACATGATAAAGTGAATGCCTTATGTTAGTGGTACCGATACTACCATACCATATTTCTGGTGTAGTTGTTTGAGCTGGTAGCTTAGGTTGGTTTTTGAACGAAGTGTGTTCTTTTGTTTTTTCTTGTCATCCAAATAGTTTGCTGCTCACATCTTGACTCGAAATTGAAGATTGGTTCTATGTTCGGATTGAAATTGCCCATCTTAGCATGATATAACCTGAATATTTCATTCCAGATTTGGATTTGTTCAATCGAGTAACAGTTACCTGTTTCGTCCGCCAGCGACGACTGTCGCGACATCTGCCATGATCTTCCCTATTCCTGCTCATGCTCTCTACCTTCTCAAACCTTCTCTAGCCTCTCGTGCCTCTCTTTCTCCACCTTCTCATCTCGCTCCTTCTGCGAGAGTATTGCAGCACCCGTCCGAGCAGAACCCCCCGTCTCGAATCGCCACCGGGAAACCATGGTAGGCTGCCTTCGCGCGGCTTTTTAGTGTGTCGTTGTCGGCCCCTTTCCCCAATCGAGTGCCTGGCACCCTAAAGCATTAGCCGTTTTCATGTCGGTCGTACAGTATGCGAGCGGGATTCGCCCTAGGGTTTATGAGTTGCCGATCATTTAGCCCATTGAGAGAGGGGAGCTGAACTCTAATCTCTAATGCCTTGATCGCGGAACTTTTCACACCGGCTGTACCATGGCATGCACTACGAAATAGAAATCAAGCACATGAATCAGTTTTTCCACGACCCATAACTGCCCGAATCAGCCACTCGGATCTGTGCCGTGACTTCAGCCTGCCAATCCTGCTCCTTATCCACATGGTCCTTGCCTGTCCTTAGGGGTATACGTCTAATCTAGGTCTACTATTCTGTCACAGTGTCCGGCCAGGAACATGCGTCCAGCCAAGTTCTTTTGTTCTCGCCAGTCGCTCCCCACCGTTCGCCAGTATTCTTCACGCTATCCTAAGTCTCCGCCTCACTTTCTTCCCTCTCTCTTGGTTCTGCTTCTCTGCTCTCGGCGGCGGCGGCGGCGGTGGTGGTGGTGGTGGTGGTGGTGGTGGTGATGACGGTGGTGGTGGTTGTGGTGGTAATTGCAATGGTTGCGGAGGTGGTGGTGGCTATGTGCTGGTGGTGGTGGTGGTGGTGGCTGGGTTGGCAGACTGTGAAGCGAAGGAACGGAGGGCGCAACAAGCATGGGCGCGGGCATGTGAAGCCCATTCGCTGCTCCAACTGCGCCAAGTGCTGCCCCAAGGCATGCTTCTCATCCTCGCTCTTCATCTCATTTCCACCCCCCCTCTCTCCTCCCCCTCTCCCCCCCTCCCTACCACCCTCCCCCCCCTCCTTCCCCGCTCCCCCTCCCCCCCACCTCCCTCCTTTACTCCCCCTTATCCCGCCTCCTCCCCCCCCTCCATCTCCGCTTCCCGTTCTCTCACCCTCGCTCCGTCCTTACCCTACCTCTGTTGCCGCCCCGATTCCCTCTCCTCGCCTCCTCACTCGCTTTTATTCCTGCCCGCACCCCTGCCTTACTCACTTGCATCCTTCCCAATTTCCTGCTGATTGCGCCACGTGCGCGCAGCTGAGGTTGCGCCGTGCTATCAGGCAGTGGCTGCATCCCTAGACGCCGGTTCGGTCCGGGGCTGCATTGTGGACGCTGTATTTACGTTCAAGCGCCTTCTCCCTCGCCTCGATGCTGCTGTGATGCCAATGCCGAGTGGTGTCTGTGGGTGTGTGGGTGCCGTGCGTGCGGGCGTGTGCGTGCGTGTGCGTGCGTGCGGGCGTGCGTGCGTGTGTCGCGTGCTTGTGGGAGTTGTCGAAATCACTGTGCAGGACAAGGCGGTGAAGCGCTTTCTAGTGAGGAACATCGTGGAGCAGGCAGCAGTCAGGGACGTGCAGGAGGCCTGCGTCTATGACGGTCAGTGCGCTCCCCACTTCACACCTCACACCTCACGCCTCGCGCCCCACGCCCCACGCCCCACGCCCCACGCCCCACGCCCCACGCCTTGCGCCCCACGACTCACACCTTAGTCTCACCTACCACGTCTTCGTCACCGTGGTCGCACATGTGCTTCTCATGCGCTTCCGCTCATCTCTCGCCTCCCCCCCTCCGTTCCGCACCCTTCTGCTAGCCCCCCTTTCCCCACCCCCATCTCCCTTACCCCTTCCCCCCTCCGGATTTTTGCGTTGTCCTTTCCGCTCTCCCGCTTCTCGTCTCCTCTGTCCGCGCCGCCCGCTGTCCCAACGTCTCCTTTCCTCACCCTTCCCATCCTTCAACACCAGTCACCCCTCTTTCGTCACCCCCCCTCTCGCCATCTCATCTTTCTACCATCCCCTTCTTTTCCACTTATCCCCCCCCCCTCCTCTACTTCCCCCTCCGCTCCCCCACTCTCTGTGTGTGCGTGCAGGCTACGCGCTGCCGAAGCTGTACGCCAAGGTGCAGTACTGCATCTCGTGCGCCATCCACTCGCACGTGGTCCGGGTGCGCTCGCGCCAGGCCCGGCGCATCCGCGAGCCGCCCAAGAGGCCCGGGCGCAAGGTGAGGGGGGGGGAGGCTGCTGGTTTGACTATTCGGCTTCTGCAGCTTCACACCTTGTCGCGTTACAACCCCTTATTTTTTCTCTCGTCTCATTTGGAACAGCCTTGTTTTCTTGTTTTCCTCGTCTTCTGCTTCTCACCACCTATTCAATTCGCATGCCACTTTCCTGCCCCCCCACCACTCCCTCCCCCCCCCCACCCCACCCCCCTCCCTCTTTCCCCCCTATCAGATGGACGACCGTGCCAAGACCGGCGCCCCTGGCGCACCTGGGGCCCGCCCTGGCGCCCCCCCTGCTGCTTCTGCAGGTGCTGCCCCCAGAACCTGAAAGGCTCGGAGCTTGGACCATGGAACTCTCTAGATGAGTTACCATTGAAGTACCTAGTATGCTTGCGTACGCAGCGCACTGCTATCTGCTCACTGCTCCACCCAGCCTTGCCCTGGTCCCTTGTCGGGCTGTGCATTATTGAATCAAACGACTTGGTGGTTCTGGTGCTGCTGTCATGGCTATTCCTCTTGAATGTGACGCGGTTTTGACGCATTTCCACCTGTGTGCGAGCTCTCAACCTAGTTTGTGAGCTCTCACCGGAGCCATCTGTGCTGCGTACGCCGTCCGGCCTCACCCTGACAGTCCTCATTGCCTGAAAGATCATTCCTCGTACACCTGACCTCCGCCATTGTCTCAGTTCACTGTACCTTGTCATTATGAGAACGATAGCTTGTCGTCAGTGGGAGGGGGAGAAATTAGCGCCAACCAGTGCGTTGGCACTAATTTCTCGAGAAGGAACCATGCTGGCTGCCCACAGAAAATCCAGCTGACTCAACAGTTTCGAGAGATCGTACGGTTGTGAGAAGGGTAGAATCCTCATCGACTCATCGCAATGCCCCACGTGTTTTTCACGGAATCGCATCCTCTGCTCCCACCAACGGCTGCGATTCCGCGATGATGCCTAGCAGGTAGCTGACATGGCGAACTGAACTGAACCTTTCCCATAACTTTTGAGCAGGACCTGGCAAATGGTCAGAAGAAGCGACAAAACCTGAGAAGTTGCCGCCAGAGAAATTGGCGGAGGACAAGTGTACCCCGCTTCCACAAGAGAAAGTTGACACGTGACTCGCCGTGATTCACGATTTACGAACTCAACAAACGGACCTTTCACTGCTCCCCGATAGTCTCGACACATCGATCGAGAATAAACATCGCTCCTCGCAGTTCGAACCTTCGTATCTCCCCTTTCCGCCACCTGCAGTGCCCTTCTGCTCCCTCTTTCTCCGCCGCTCCCTTCCGCCGCCGCCTTTCCCCGGGTTCCCAACATGGCGCAAACCGCGTCGTTCGCGCGCGTGTCACCTGCGCCCGCCGCCCAATCGCCGCTGCCGGCGCCACCAGCGGGGGCTCCGTTCCCCGATCTTCACGCCGCAGTCTCCGCCGTGTTCGGCGCCTCACCGCAGGTTCCGCTGGCCGCTGCTGCTGCTGCTGCCGCTGATGCCGACAGCGCGTCTCCATCGCCGTCGGCGTTCCTTCCGTACCGGCTGGTCGCGAGTGACAATAACGAGGGGCTGCTGTACTGCTGGCGGACTGGCAGCGAGGCGCTGACTGTGGTGGGATGCGGTGGGCGCGAGGGGAACGGGGGCGACGCGGACGCGGATACAGCCACGGGCGCGTGCGATGTGCGTGGGTGGTGCTGGCGCTGGTGCTGCTGCTGCTGCTGCTGCTGGTGCTGCTGCTGGTGCTGGTGTCGTGTGGAGTGCTGTGTGTGGAGTGAGCTGTGCGCACAGCTCATCGAGCTGCGTGCCGTTCGTTGCCTTCTAGTGCCCCTATTCCTCCCTCTTCAGCTTGCAGTCTCCCTTGGCATGACACCTCATTTTCCCGCTCCCCCTTCCCCTCCCCCTTCCCCCCCTCTTCCCCTCCCCCGTCCCCCCAACCCCCCCGCCCACCAGTCCATCCACTTGCCCCTGTTCCCCGCTCCGGCCGCCTCTGTGCGCCAGCTGCTGTTGTCCCCCTCGGGCCGCTCGCTCGCGCTGCTCTCGCCCTCGTCCCTTGCCGTTGCCGACGTCTCCTCTGCTGCAGCGCGCCTGAGAACGCAGGGGGACAGACAGGGCCGCATGGGGGGAGGGGCGCGGGGGCAGGGGGAGGGAGAGGGGCAGTCTGACGTTGATGCTGCTCAATGGTGGGTGGTGGGTGGTGGGTGGTGCACGATTGGGCATGGTGCGTGCGGGGGTCATGGTGCGTTTGTGCTGAGCTACTTGCAACGAACGCGCCATGTATGGTTGGGTCTCTGATGGCCTGCCCTCTGCCGCTTTGGCTGGTATCCTTCCATCCCCCACTGCCCTCGTCCCATTGTGTACCACTCGCACTTCCCATCCGCTTTTCTCACTTCCCGTGCGCACGTTTTTCCTCTTCTCTGTAGTGCTTTTGAGTCGACTCAAAAGTTTTCCCTCTTCTCAGTCGTTTCGCAATCATTCGTACGTTCTTCTTTCCTCAGCTTACGTTACATCCATCCCGTCTCCCCCTTCCCCACCACTCCCCGTTGCCATTGGTGATATTTGAGTCGACTCAAAAATCAACCATTGTGTTACGTATCCCATCTTTTCCCCCTTCTCTTCTGTCCATTCCCACGTGCTCGGCCTGTGCCAGTGTGTGCGTGGCTGACTTCCAGGCGCAGGGCGTGCACGTGGTGCAGGCGGCATGGCATCCCCTCAGTGACGCGCACATCGCTCTCCTCACTTCCGATAACGTCTTCAGGTCCTCACCACCCCTCTCCCTTCCTGCCTGCCTCCCTTCCTGCCCGCCTGCCTCCCTTCCTGCCTGCCTCCCTCCCTGCCTGCCTGCCTCCCTCCCTGCCTGCCTGCCTCCCTGCCCGCCTGCCTGCCTGCCTGCCTCCCTGCCTGCCTGCCTCCCTGCCTGCCTGCCTCCCTGCCTGACTGCCTGCCTGCCTGCTTCCCTGCCTGCCTGCCTCCCTTCCCGCCTGCCTCCCTGCCTGCCTGCCTCCCTGCCTGCCTGCCTCCCTGCCTGCCTGCCTGCCTGCCTGCCTGCCTGCCTGCCTGCCTGCCTGCCTGCCTGCCTGCCTGCCTGCCTGCCTGCCTGCCTGCCTGCCTGCCTGCCTGCCTGCCTGCCTGCCTGCCTGCCTGCCTGCCTGCCTCCCTCCCTCCCTCCCTCATCGCATCATCGCCTCATCGCCTCTCTCTCACCCCTACCCACTTCTCGATGGTGGTGCGTGTCGTGCTGCCCCCCTGCCAGGCTCTACGACGTCTCAGCAGCCGCCCACTCATCCACCAGCAGCAGCAGCAGCAGCAGCAGCCCCCACCAGCGGGCACCACGTACGGCAGCAGCAGCAGCAGCGGTAGAGCAGGAGTATCTGCTGCAGCCACAGGCGTGCATGGCTGCTGCTGGCGCGGCTGCTGGCTCATCCCCCGGTGCAGGGGGGGGGGCAGGGAGTGCGGGGGGTGTGGGGCCGCCTGGTGGGTGCGTGGGGTTTGCCTTTGGCGGCGACCACATCTGGGAGCGGTTCTCGGTGAGCTGCCGGGTTGAGTGCCATGGGATGGGATGGGATGGGATGGGATGGGATGGCATGGCATGGCATGGCATGGCATGGCATGGGATGGGATGGGATGGGATGGGATGGGATGGGATGGGATGGGATGGTGGTGGAATCGTGGTGGAATCGTGGTGGGATTGTGGTGGGATTGTGGTGGGATTGTGGGAGCATGGGATGATGGCATGGGGATGGCAGCAATGGAGGCAAGTCATGTTGGTGCACTTTTGACAATTCTAAAAAATGACTCCACTGGGTCTGGTCTTCCCGTAAACCTCGTCCTATCTCCCTCCCTCTCTCACTCCCTCGCTTCCCATCCCCTTTCGCCCAATCTCTCCTTATTTCCCACTCCCTTCCCTCCCTCCTCCCCTACTCCTCCCTCCCTCCTCTCTTCCTCTCCTCTTCTCCCTCCCTCCCTCCCGCCCTCCCTCCCGCCCTCCCTCCCATCCCCAAGGTGTTCTTCTGCTTCCAAGATGGGTCCATATACGCGCTCTGCCCACTGCTGCCTTTCAACTCGTATGATCCCCATCATCCCCATCATCCCCATCATGCCCATCATCCCCATCATCCCCATCATGCCCATCATGCCCATCATCCCCATCATCCCCATCATCCCCATCATCCCCATCATCCCCATCATGCCCATCATCCCCATCATGCCCATCTGCATTTATGGTGTGTTAGCGCCTCACTCTCTTATCTTCCTGCCCAATGCCCTTGCTCACACTTCACACCGCTCCACCCCCTCCGCATCCCTGTTCTGATCCCCCTTGCCACACCCCTCCCTCTCACCCTCGCTCTCTCTTTCTCCCCCTCCTGCCTGCCTCCATTTCCCTCCATCCCCCCCCCCCCCCCCATTTTCCCCTCCATCCCCCCTCCCTCCCCCCCAGGTGGGTGCCTTCCAAGGCCATTGCAGAGCTAAGGGCCGACGCTGACTGCTGCTCCCTCTCCGCCCCTGCTCGCACCCACGCCCTCCTTGCCGCCTCCTGGCTCTCCCACTCCTTCCCACACCCCCCACACTCCTCTCACTCCCTGCATGCCCCCACCGGCAAACGGCTGATGGCTGGGTCGGGGCAGGGGAGGGAGCAGGGGGCAGAGGTGGGGGGAGGTGGGGGGCTCGTGAAGTCGGCTCGCTATGCCATTGGGAGCTCGTCGCTTGTGCTGCAGGTGGGTGCTCCGTTGGGGACGGATTGATTGACGGATGCAGCGTGTGATGGATGCAGGGCGGTTTGATGGATGCAGGGCGGTGTGATGGATGCAGGGCGGTGTGATGGATGCAAGGCGGTATGATGGATGCAGGGCGGTGTGATGGATGCAGGGCGGTGTGATGGATGCAGGGCGCTTTGCTGTTTGCTTTTTGCTGTTGCTGTTGCTGTTGCTGTTGCTTGCCAATCCTTGCACTGCATCCTTCCATCCTATTCTCACCCTCTCCGATCCTCTTCTTGCCCGCTGCTCACGCCTCTCTTCACCCCCCTCAACAGCGCGAAAGAGTGTAAAGCAAAACATCCGGGGTGGGCGATGGAAATCTAGTTCAGAACTTCTTTTTTTGAGGCGCCTCAAAAATCGATGGAAATCTAGTTCAGAACTTCTTAGTCATCTCAATACTAGATTCTTATCAGCCGAGCATCCTCATTAAACAAAACATCTTACTTGCCTTGGACGACCTGACGTCCCTCCTCACTTCCGTTCCCCTCCGCCCCCACCCTCACTCCACCCCTCAGCCTGCCCCCTCCACTTCCCTTCCCTCTCCCCTGCCCAACTCAGGGCCCCTTCCCCACTATAACAGGAGACGACCCATCTCTAGCCTCCCCCTCCACATCTCCCCAACACCCCTCCTCCTCCTCTTCCTCCTCGCCCCCACCCCCATCGCTGCCGTGCTGCCTGGCGCTCACAGTGGTGGGGCAGGACAGTGTGCTGCTGGTAGGGGAGTGGGGGAACACAGTTTGGGTTCTAGTCATGGGGGATAAGATTCAACTATTCCACCCCTACTTTTGAGAATTCTAAAAACTCACTTCCACTTTTCACACCCCTCCCTCCGACCTCCTTCCCGTTCCCCTCCCTCCCCGCTCTCGCCCCCCCTCACTCCAGGGCCCCTTCCCCACTATAACAGGAGACGACCCATCTCTAGCCGCCCCCTCCGCTTCCCCCCCACTCCCCTCCTCCTCCCCACCTCCCCCATCGCTGCCGTGCTGCCTGGTGCTCACAGTAGTAGGCCAGGACAGCGTGCTGCTGGTGGGGGAGCGGGGGGGCACGGTGCGGGTGCTGGTGATGGCGGACGAGATGCACCCCATGTGGGACACCGCACGCCCGCCCTCGCTTGACCGGTCGAACCGAGGCACGCTGCTCTCGCTCTCTATGACTGCCTGCTCGCAAGTGTCGAGCAGTGGCGCTGGCGCTGGTGCTGGTGCTGGTGCTGGTGCTGGTGCTGGTGCTGGTGCTGGTGCTGGTGCGAGTGCTGGTTGGTTGAAGGGGACTGGCCAGCAGCAGCAGCAGCGGCAGGAGGACGGGGGTGGCAGGGGGCAGGCAGGGGAGGGGGGGGCAGAGGGTGGTGCTGTCGTTTGGGCCGGCCACCCTCCCCCTCTGCTGCTCTTCAGCCGCGTTGACCTCTCGCTACCCTCCCCCACACGCCCCATCTCATCAAAGTCACCACCACCCCCATCATCCAGATCACTGCTGTCCAAGTCACAGTCGCCAGCACCATCCCATATAGCAGCAGCCGCAGCAAGCCGCACCTCGCCCCCACCACCACCACTATCATCTTCATCATCCTCATCATCGCCATCGCCCTTGCGCCTGCCGTGCATCGAATTGTATGTGGACGCGCGCGTGCCGGACTTTGTGGTGTGCGCGCATGCGTGGGGCGTGGACGCGGTGCTGCTGCGCTGGCTGCCCTTCTCCGACCAGCACGACGCCCTCTCCGCCCGCCACAAGGCGCTGCCCTCCGTGGAAGTCTACAGCATCTACTCCTCCTCCTCCTCCTCCTCTTCCTCCTCTTCATCCTCCTCGAATGCCGCGCGTGCTGCTAAACTTGGTGCTGGTGGTGGTGGTGGTGCTGCTGCTGCTGCTGGTGTGCCCTGTATTGGCTTAGCAGTGCTTTCTGGCAGTAGGGTGTTGACAGGAGGAGCAGAGAAGGGCGGGTGGGGGGAGGAGAGAGTAGTGGTCACAGTGGACGCGGGAGGGGGGTGTGCCGTGCTGAAAGTGAGGCGGCCGGGGACAGCGCTGGTGGAAGGGGTGGGGGGGGGGGGAGGAGGGGGGTGAGGGGAGGAGTGCGGAGGAGGAGGAGGAGGAGATGGCGGGGCGTGGAGTGAGTGAGCGGGTGTTGCGAGGTCCCACCACTGCTGGCTCCCAGGTGAGGAGTGTGGTGTGCTCTTGAGTCGGCTCGTAAGTGTGGCCTGAGAAAGAGAGTGAGGGAGTGAGTGGGATACTGGGAGAGAGGGGAAATGGGGGAGGGGTGAGGGGTGACGGGGGGAAGGGCGGGAGACAAGTGCATGCGAGCCACTGGGAATCGATGTCCCTGCATATGCTTATTGCCATTGCGTTGCACAGCCTCTTGGCCCTATCGCTCACTCATCCTCTTTCTTCCTACATGGATGTGCGTGCATATGCATGCATGTGTGTGCATGTGCATGCATTTGCATGCATGCATGTGTGTGCATGTGCGTGCATGTGCATGCATGCATACATGTGTGTGCATGTGCGTGCATATGCATGCATGCATGTGTGTGCATGTGCGTGCATATGCATGCATGTGTGTGCATGTGCGTGCATGTGCATGCATGCATACATGTGTGTGCATGTGCGTGCATTTGCATGCATGCATGTGTGTGCATGTGCGTGCATGTGCATGCATGCATACATGTGTGTGCATGTGCGTGCATTTGCATGCATGCATGTGTGTGCATGTGCGTACATTTGCATGCATGTATGTGTGTGCATGTGCGGGATTTGGAATGGCTGCAGGTGCTGCAGCAGCTGCCAGCAACAGCGCGCACAACACAGGCATCATCTATGGAGGGCAAGGCCACGCTGCACTCATGTGCCAAGGCGCTGCATGCCTCGCATGTCGCATACACCCATGCGGTATGTGCCCCCTTATGTGTCCGCTTCTCACCTATGTATGCGCGCCTCACTCATGCATGTGCACTCATGCATGTGCACTCATGCATGTGCACTCATGCATGTGCACTCATGCATGTGCACTCGTGTGTGTGCACTCATGCATGTGCTCTGATGCCGGAGGTGATTTTTTAGTCGACTCAAAAACCACTTCTCACCTATGTATGCGCGCTTCACTCATGCGTGTGCACTCATGCCGTGTCGTGAGCCTTCGTAAGTGCACTGGGCTAACTCTTTCCTGTGCACATCCCTAATGCCATCCCCTTTTTGAACCCCAAGAATCTCTCACCTTCTCTTCCCCCTCCCCCTCCCCCTCCCCCACCCCCACCCCCCTTACCGACCTTTATCGACACTTCCAGAATCACACCACCGCGATTTTCTATCCTGCCTTTCTCTGTAACAACCACCCCTCTCCTCCCACCTCTTCCCTCCCCCTCCCCCCAACCCCTTCTTCCCCCCCCCCTTTTCCTCCTTTTGTCCACACCTTGATGTATGCGGAAGCGTTTGGCACGACCATGGGTGGTGCTGCAGGTGCAGCAGCAGCAGCACCAGCAACAGCCACTTTTCAAGGTGCCTAAAAATTTGGACCCTCCCCTCTCCCCTCCTCATCCCCCTCCCCCACCCCAAGGCGTACGTGGGGGTGAGGGAGCACGAGCAGTGGGTGGCGGCGCTGGTGGAGCAGCAGGCGCCCCAGTAGGAGCCTCAGTACTGGATCCCCCCCCCATCCCCCCCCTCTCTCCCCACCCCCGTCCTGCTCCTCTCCCGCTCCCTCTCTTCCGCCCATCTCTCCCCCCCCAGGCGTACGTGGAGGTGAGGTCGCACGAGCAGTGGGTGGCGGCGCAGGTGGAGCAGCAGGTGGCGCTGGTGGAGCGGCTACAACGCATAGTGCAGGTGGAGGGGGACATCTGCCAGGGGCTGCTGGCGCGCACGCTCGACCGCCTCGCCGTGAACGAGCGCCTCGTGCAGCGCGTGGAGAGGGCGCGTGCCCGGGCGGGGTGGGGGCGTCAGGCGCTGTCCGTGGCTGAGAGGCAACTCAAGGGGGAACTGGGTGAGTTGAGCGACGGGTCAGGGGGTCAGATGAAAATGAGATGAAAGGGTGACTCTGCAAGGTAGGGATTTCACATCTGGCGTAACAGGCTCCTCCGTTGCCCAATTCTTCTTGCTGCTTACCCTTCACTTGATGTGTCTCTCACCCCGTGCATATGATTGGTTTGTGTGTCAACCCTAAGGCTGGTGATTTGTGCATGAGCGCATCTGTCTCCTTCCCTCCAACGCTTCCCGTACCTTGTTTGCTGGCGCCGTTGCGTCGTTGCGACCCTCTAATCCCCCCTTGTGCTACTGCAGACGCCTTACAGCATCACGAGCTGCCACTGCTGCTAGACTCCGCATCTCACCTGCAATCTCGCTGGGAGCATATCGCTGAAGCAGATAATGGAGGCAGCAGCAAGCTAAGTCCCGCTAAGCCGCATTCCTACGTCAACAACCGTGAATCCCCTGGTAGTGGCGCTGCTGCTGCTGCTGGTGCTGCTCCTGCTGCTGCCGCTGCTACTGCTACTGCTGTGGCTGTGTCTCCCCAGCGGCGGGCGCTGGAAGGACATCAGGCAGTGAGAGTGCGGAGGGCTCTGGGGCAGCTGAGCGACACAGTGCAGCAAGTGGCAGACATGGTGAGGGAGGTGGATGCGGAGGTGCTTAGAATAGACTTACAAGGGCTGCAATGCGGTGCTGTATGAGCAATGCCGATGTATGGTTCTTTGTGGTGCTGTGCGATGCGGTATGGTTGTTTGTGGCGATGCGTGGTTCCAGACGGTGCTGTTTCGGTATGGGGGCATGTGATGTGATGTGATGGCACATTCTAGTGTCTTGTGATGTTATCTGTCATCATAGTGCACAACTGGCAATTTGAAACCGTCTTTGGTCGTTACAACTTACGTGCCATGAAGATCATGGGGATACCGAGGTGTGTGAAACGTTGGAATGTGTAAGCATTTCCTCCTGCAAGCCCATATCGCTGCTTAGGATACACAGGGGATCCTACACCCATCTTGGGAAGAAGGCTAGAGCAGAGTTTACAAGAGAGGAAGGTCAAAGTGTACCAAAGGGGTCAAGTTTCCGAGTGTAACAACTCACATCCGAAATCCATGGTCGGGATTGGCCTCCAACTGGCGCCGCGATCACCGGAGTCACGGCAATTCCAGGGCTAGCCAGCGACGTCTGTGGGACGAGACAAGAGGCGGGGCTGGTGCCAACCAACTCACGGACGACCTGTCCGTCGTCGAATGCGACAACTGACGCATTCCAGCCTTCTTTTCGCCACTGCGCGCGACCTCAACAACCCCCCTTCCCCGTCTCCCCTCACTCCGCCATGACCTGCGCGTCGCCAGCAGCCATCTTGAAGCACCCTCCCTGCTAGCTGAAGGTGGCGGCAGTTCCCCGGACATTACCCCCCGCAATATTGCCCCGCCACCCCAGCATGCTCGCGGTCATCTGGGAAAATCATTAGAGAGTCGATTTTAGCTTGCCACCTTCCATTCCACAGCACTCAACTCGACTCTCTCGATTACCCAAACAAACGCCCGTTCCCGCATTCAATATTTCTTTTGTATTCCTCCAATCCCGAATCCCGATCCGACTGGTATCATCCATCCTCTCGCATGGCCCACCCTCATTTATCCTCTTCCCTCGTCGAGTCATCATGGCTCTCTCCAACCCCCATCACTCCTCCCAAGCCATCGGGTCTCTCCCAGGCCATCGGGTTCGGTCGGGTTGGGTTGAGCTAGTTTTGGCTGGGTTGTGAGTGACCGCTCTTTAACCCACTTAGCGGGGGATTAGAGGATAACTTACCCTCGACACTTCAGGTGATTGGGAGTTACGAAGGGTAGGGGTAGTAGTTTTCGACGTATAAGGGGTGACCTGGTTTGATTTCGTTCAGACAAGTCAGGACTCGGACTTGCCTTCAGATAGCGAAACCTCGAAAGTTTGGCCAGAATGATAGGATTTTTTCCCACGCATTTGCAAGCAGAATACAAGCCACCACTGTCCCCCTGCTTTCTACCCCACGACCAGGTTATTGCGGCGGGTGAAGCAGGCCGAGTGTGACAACCCTGTTGTGGACTTTCCCTCAAGTCCAACTCCCGTTTTAGTCCGTGGTAGCTTCAAACGGTTTTAGTACGCTTGATGTTAACCTCCGAGATTTTGGGTCCATAAACGGGTAAATCTGGGCCCAGCCCCTTCACCCTTCGGATGCCAATGGCTAGGCTCGTTCATCTTGTTTTGCTTGACGATTCACATAGCCTTTCATGGCGTTGTGTCGTACCGTGCTGTGACCGATTTCTTGGTTCACATTGTGCTTGTGGAATCCTAATTTGTGAATGACCCGCGTGATGCTATGCTAGCTACGCAGGAGAGGGTATTCTCATCTGTCTTCAGGGGCCAAGCGAATCAAGCGTAGTGAATAAGGGCATCGGCAACATCGCTGGTCTGTGTCCCGCGCCATGACGGGAGGCACTTGTCAGTGCAGTCACCAGATAGCGGAAGAATCAGGGTTTTAATTCTCGCCTTTCGCGGCTCGACTGTTACGCCATGGCATCAGGTTACTGCCCTTCTTACTCCCCTGCACTGCACCTAGAATTCTAGATCACCGCATCCCCCGCTCCCATCAGCCCCATTGTACGCATCGCCAGCCAATCTTAGCCGATATTTTCAGGCCTGTGCGAGCTCTAGCTCAGACGCGCCTCACAACGGGTTCGCCTATAATGTCCATGCCATTATCCTCTCGCGGTTCTGCCGACGTGTAACGCGTGGTTCTGTCCGCCGGTTAGCGCGTTCCATTTCCTCCCTCCCTCCCTCCCTCCCTCCCTCCCTCCCTCCCTCCCTCCCTCCCGCCCTTCTCCCTTTTTCCTATCCCTCATTCCCGTCTCTCCCTTCCCTGCCATCAACTTCCCCTCTCCCCGCCCCTCCACCCCTCTCTCCCTTCAACTCGTTCCTCCCTCCCCGCGGTCCCATCTGTTCCCCTCCACCCCCGCATCTCGCGCTCCTAACGCTTTCCCCGCCACCCTCACCGCACGCACGCACGCACGCCAGGTGGCGGCGGCGGTGGCGGCAGCAGCGGCGGCAGCGGTGGCAGCAGCAACGGGTACATCCTTGCGTACGCGAAGCGCAGTCTGCACCGCGACTACGTGGTGCGCGGAAAGGAGTTCGGGCGCGGGCGGTACGGCGTGGTGCGGCCGTGCGTGCACCGCAAGACGGGGCGCGTGCTGGCGTGCAAGTCCATCAGCAAGGCCAATGTCAAGGCATGACCCCCGCCTCCCGCACCCGCACCCGCACCCGCACCCGCACCCGCACCCGCACCCCCACACTCACACCCGCACCCACACCCGCACCCCCGCACCCACACCCGCAACCCACAGCCACACCCCACAACAACACCCGCCACCCGCACCCGCTCGCGCACGCGCCATCCGCACATGTTCACATCCGCACTCGCTACAGTCTCGCGACAGTATTATCACACGAACCGTCGCGAGGGAAAACGCGCCTGAAAACGTCACTACGGGTGTCGCTAGGTCTGTCGCTGGGGGAGTCGCTAGGTTCGTCGCGAGATCCTTCGCTAGACTCACGGCATCTAGTCCGCGTATCTCCTCTGCGCCGCTTGCCAGTCCCATAGCGACTCACGGCATCGAATCCGCGTATGGGGAGTTGCTAAGACGGACCGCTGGAGCTCCAGCTTTAGTTGTACAACTCCCTGATGATCGACCAGCTAGAGCCATGCGTGCAGTAGTTGTAGCGCCTGGTGGCGTTGCCGGTAGTTGAGGCGTGTGGAAGACTAGCCCCCTTGTCTACTCCCCCACCATTCCCGCGCCTCCCCCATCCCTCACTACGCGCGCACGCCCCGCCTCCCCCTCCGGACGCGCCTGTGAAACGGGGCGCCAACCTTCCCTCCCCCTCCCTCCCCCTCCCTCCCCCTACCCCCCCTTTTCTTCCCCCCTCCCCGCGGCCCCACCCCCCCTCCTTGCCTTCCGCCGTTGGCGCCAGGAGGAGCAGCAGGTGGAGGAGCTGCGCACAGAGTTGGCCGTGAACCCGTTCTCCAACCTTCCCTCTTGCGCCCCTTCTCTTCCCAACCCCGCACCTCCCACCCCTCCCCTGCGCCCATCCACCCCCCCTCCCCCCCCCACCCCACAGGAGGAGCAGCAGGTGGAGGAGCTGCGCACGGAGATGGCGGTGATGCGCGCTGTGGTGGGGCACGCGCACATAGTGGAGGCGGAGGCAGTGTACGAGGACGACGAGCACGTGCACATGGTCATGGAGCTCTGCCACGGGGGAGATCTCTTCGACCTGCTTGCGAGGAGCGACCACCTGTCCGAGAACGACGCGCGCCACATGTTCAGGTGCCGGGGCAGGGGGCAAGGGGCAGGGTTGTTGGGTCTGGGGTGTGGGTGTGGGTGTGGGTGTGGGTGTGGGTGTGGGTGTGGGTGTGGGTTAGGGGGTGGGTGATGGGGGATGTGGGGTGAGGGGTGTGGGGCGCGGGTTGCTTTGAGGCACCTAAAACAGTTGCACCTTCATCTTTACTCGTACGGTTCTACCGTCCCCGAGCCCCACCCACCACATCCAACAACCCCCCTTCCCCCCACCTTCCTCTTCCCCATACCCCCCTGTCTCCCCCACCCCCCCCAGGAAGGTAGTGGATGCGGTTTGGTTCTGCCACAGAAAGAGCACCATGCCCCGAGCCCTACACGGCCACGCACATGCCTCAAAAGCCTCCCCCGCACACTCTACATCGCACCCTCACCCGCACTCCCCCAACCTCCCCCAACCCCGCCCATAACCACCCCCCCCCACCTTCCTCTTCCCCCGTTCCCCCCCCCTCTCTTCCCCCCTCTCTCTCCCCACCCTTCAGGAAGATCGTGGACGCGGTGTGGTTTTGCCACGGAAAGAGCATCTGCCACCGGGACTTAAAGCCTGAGAACATCCTCCTAACGGACGCCACTGCGCTCAACCCCAAGCTCGCGGACTTTGGGCTGGCCGTGCACCTGCCGCCCGGGGCGCGCGCCGTGGGCCTGGCAGGGTCGTCGTTTTACATGGCGCCCGAGGTCGTGCAGGGCATGGCGTACTCCTTCCCCGCGGACGTGTGGAGCCTGGGAGTCCTTCTCTATATCATGCTCTCAGGTGGGCCGTATGTAGCTCTGTTGTTTGGGCCCCCTTGCTCATATTTTTTCAGCAGGCCTGGCTGGCTGGCTGGCTGGCTGGCTGGCTGGCTGGCTGGCTGGCTGGCTGGCTGGCTGGCTGGCTGGCTAGGTCGTCCTTCTACATGGCGCCCAAGGTGGTGCAGGGCATGGCGTGCTGCTCCATATCATGTTCTCAGGTGGGGGCACCTCCTTGCTTGACCTTGCCTCATCGTGCGTGCCATCTTCATCTCAACTCGCCCTGTCACCCCCCCTGCAATCCCCCTCACCCTCGCTCCCCCTCCCTCCTCGCACCACTCTCCCCCCCTCCCTTTTTCACCAGGCATTCTGCCCATCTGGGGCGAGATAGTGGAGGAGACGTACGAGAGTGTGTGCCGGGTCCACCTTGACCCTCGTGGCAGTGGCAGCTCATCTCGCAGTGGGTGGCCCCTGCTGCCAACGACCTCATCCAGTGCCTGTGCGCCCTCGCTCCCTCTCTCCCCCCCACCCCCTCACCAGGCATTCTGCCCTTCTGGGGCGAGACAGTGGAGGAGACGTACGAGAGTGTGTGCCGGGGCCACCTGGACTTCTCCTCGCGGCAGTGGCAGCTCATCTCGCCTGCAGCCAAGGACCTCATCCAGCGCATGTGCGCCCTCGACCCCCTGCACCGCCCCTCCCTGCACCACGTCCTCTCCCACCGCTGGCTCGCAACTGCTGCTGCTGCCGTTGCTGCCTCTGCTGGTGGTGCTGGTGGTGCCTCCTCCCCCGCCCCTTCCTCGTGCAAGCTGGCTCTGGCGCGGGCTGGGTCGCTGCTCTCCCCCTCCGCCACCGCTGCCACTGCTGCTGCCGCCCTCGCTGATGCTCCTGCTGCTGCTGCTGCTGCTGCTGCTGCTGCTGCTGCTGTTGCTGCTGCTGCTGCTGGTGTTGGTGCTGGTGCTGGTGCTGGTGCTGGTGCAGGTGCTGGTGCTGGCGTTGGTGCTGGTGTTGGTGGCTTGGGTGTAGCAGGAGCGGCAGCAGCAGCAGCAGCAGGAGCAGAATCTGCTACGCCGACAACGTCTGGTGCCCCCGGCGCGGATCCGAGCGCAAGCAGGTACCGGCGAGCACAGCCACGTGCCGTCACGGGGTTAAAGAAACGGCTGCTGCCTCTGCGGTCCAAAAGCGGCATTGACACTGCTTTCATGTCCACAGCATGGAAAGCAGCTGCTGGCAGGGATGGTAGTGCCTCCATGGATTACCAGGAGGTGGACACGGAGGAGGGGGAGGATGAGGAGGAGGGGAAGGAGGAGGGGAGGGAGGAGCCTGGGAAGGAAGGGGAGATGAATGGGGAGTGGGAAGGGCGCGGACGGGAAAGGGATGGCGGGTGGGGTGGTGAGAATGAGAATAGTGGCGATGAGGATGCGAGGAAGGATGATGGAGATGATGGGGATTATGAAACGGATGATGGCATGGAGGATGCGGATGAGAGGGCGAGCAGTGGGAGGAGGAGGCGGGTGGGCAGTAGGAGAGGGGGAGGAGGAGGGGGGGGGGAGGCAGAGTAACGCGGGTGAGAGGGACCAGCCATAGCAGTGGATTGTTTGGTGTTGCTGGTGTTGGATTTGCTGGGATTCTGACTCAAGGAGGACTCAGAGCAGCTCCCAATGGTGTGGGTGCTACAGCTGGGTCAGCACCAGCACCAGCAGCAGCAGCAGCAGCAGGAGTGGGTGTCCGCAGTGGTGTTACCGGCAGTGGCATTGGTATGGTGCATGCATCACGTGTCTCACCCCGTGGAACGACGTCTGTGTCCGCTGGTGCAGTGTTCACTGCCGGGGTAGTCGAAGCCCTGGCTGCAAGCACAGCAGCGTTGGCAGCAGAAGCAGAGGGTGAAGGCGGTGGTAGCACGCCGAGGGCAGGGGGGCGGCCAGGCAGAGCGGGCCTGGGGGTTGTGGAGAGGGCTGGCGTGGAAAGAATTGGAACAGGGTCCAGGGGCGGAGATGCCAAGGCAAGCGGTGGCACAGGGGTGGCTGCAGCACCTGCTGCGGCTGCGGCTGCAGGTGCGGCTGCGCCTGCTGCTGCTGGTGGTGCTGGTGGCGGGGTGCAGAGTAGGTTGGTTGAGAGCAGCCGGGAGACAGCAGGCTCTCACACTCGGGTTGCCACTGGAGCAAGTGCTAGTGACGAGAGCAGAGGCAGCGAGGGCAGTGCTGCTCCTGACCCTGCGACAACAGTAGCAGCAACCCCAGTAGCAGCAACCCCAGTAGCAGCAGCAGCAGCAGCAGCAGCGGGAGCGATGCCTGCGTCTCCGCAGGACAGAGAGGACCCCCCACAGCAGCAGGACGAGGGGGGCGGCTCCTCCTCCTCCTCCTCGCAGCCACGGCGCCGCCCCACGTACCAGCACATCAGCAGCATCGGCAACTCGAGAGCCGACAGGCGAGTGTTCACGCCCGTGCAGCGGCCCAGAACAGCAGAGACAAGGCCGGGTGGGGGGATGGCCAGGCGGGGAGGGGGTGCGCATGGCACTGGTGGCACGTCGTTCCTGGGGGGTTCTGCGCTCCCTCCCTGCTCCATGCGCTCGCCTGGTCCGGCTGGGGGCAGTGCTGCGGCTAGGCTTGTCTCGCCGCCAAGAAGGCACGCGGCTAGGCATGGTGCTACGACTGCTGCTGGTGCCGCTGCTGGTGCTGCTGGTACTGTTGCTGGTGCTGCTGGTGCTGTTGGTGTTGCTGGTGCTGCTGGTGCTGTTGGTGCTGCTGGTGCTGCTGCTGGTTCTGCTGACGGCACTGCTCGCAGTGCTGCTGCTTCTGTTTCTGTGCCTGCAGTAGCAGCAGCTGCTGCTGCTGCTGCTGCAGATGGTGCAGATGGTGCAGGAGTGGGAAGCCGGGCGCAGGAGGAGGCGGGTGCTGGCGTGTGCAGGGGGGAAGGTGCTGCTGGTGGTGCTGGTGGTGCTGGTGGCATGGGGCAGAGAGAGAGAGATGGCGGCATGGCAAGTGCAGAGGAGGGGAGGGGGCAGGGGCAGGGGCAGGGGCAAGAGAGACGATCCAGTGAAAGGATAGCGATTGGAAAGGAGCAGCATACAGGAGGTGCACATGCAGTTGCAGGGGTCGCGCACGCAGGGGGCGCGCATGTAGGGGGCGCGCATGTAGGGGGGACGCACAGAGTGGAAGAAGAGCGTGCAGGGGGTCGGGTAGGGCGTCTAGGGGGAGGGGGGCGCATACAAGGGGAGGGGTAGGGGGAGGGCATGTAGTGGGGCAGGGAGGACACACAGGAGAAAGAGGAGGGGGAGGAGGAGGGGGGGGGGAGAGGGCATGTTGAACCAAGTAAGAAAGGTAAGTGGCGGAACGAGTGGTGCAGGAGGGCCGGGGGCATCTGGGGTAGCAGGAGGGAGAGGCGGCAAGGGAGGGGGGCGGCTGGGTGGGAGGGGCAGAGGGATGGGGGGAGGGGGGGAGGAGGAGGCGGAGGCGGAGGAATGAATGGTAGAAGTCAGCAGGAGCGAGATAGGGTTGGAGAAGAAGGGAGGTTAGAGGAGAGGAGGCAAGGTAACGTGGGCAGTAGTGGCGGGATGAGCACCAATGCAGCGGGCATGAGTAATGCTCTAGGTGTGAGAAGTAAGCCTGGGTCTCTCCTGGCTTCTGCTGCTGCTGCTGTTGATGGTTGCGTCAGTGGAGGAAGGAGTGGCAGCAGCAGCAGCAGTGGAGATGGCCTGTGTGGTGGTAGGGATGCGTCAGCAAGGGAAAGCGACATTGGCAGAGGCATTTGCAGTAGAGGCAGCAGCAGTAACACCATCAGTAGCCGCAGCAGTCGCAGCCACGGCAGCAGTAGCAGCAGCAGCAGTGGCAGTGGCTCATTGGGCTATAACCCTGTGAACAGACTATGTAACGATGCCACAAGCGGCAGCAGCAGCAGCAGCAGCAGCAGCCGGGGTGAGAGCGGCAGCGGCAGCGGCAGCAGCAGCTTAGCAAGCCGCAGCTCTCAGGCAACACAGAGTCAGAGTGACTCTGCCAGTGCTGCACATGGTGCCTGTGTCACTGTCGCTGTGGCAGGAACCGTTGGTTCTGACCGCAATGACACCGGCCATCCTCCTGGCACCAATCATCCCAATTCCACTGATGTTGGGGGAGGAAGGGGTGCGGGTGCAGGAAGGGGGGGGGGAGGGCAAGGAGTAGCAGGTTGGTGCCCAGCCTCACCTAAGCTCTCATCCCCCCGCTGCGGCTTCTCTTCTCCCTCCTCCTTGTCCCACCAACAGCACCAGCAGCACCATCAACAGCAGCAGCAGCACCACCACCACCATTCCTCACTGAATCAATCCCCGCCCAAGTCCTCTGCCCATCTGGCCCCAGTCACAGAGCAAGACTCAGACTCAGACGCCAGTGCACAGGCAGCAGAGCTGGCGGCAGCAGCAGCAAGGATCGAGCACGCGAACCAGGCCAACCGCGGCGTGCCCTTCCGCCGCCAGGGCTCCGCATCCCCCCGAGATTCCCGCTGGTCCGTTGGGGTAGGGCTCGGAGCCATGGGCAGGCCTGGGTATGGGCGTGGGCCTAGATTGAGCTGGGAAGATCGGAGCGAGAGCAAAGCAGGGGCGTTTGAGAAAGGGTCTGGAGGTGGTTGGGAAGGGAGTGGTGGGGCAGAGGGAGGGAGGGTAGGAGGGTGGAATGATGGGTTGGGTGGTATTGAGAGAGGTGGGAGTGATGAAGGGAGGGCGAGATGTACGAGTGGTGGCATAGCCGGTAATGGTCGTGCTGGTGGTGCTGCTGGTGGTGCTGGTGCTCCTGGTGCTCCTGGTGCTGCTGGTGGTGCTGGTGCTGGTGGTGGCAGCAGAGCCAGTGGGGGTGCTGGCAGAGGTGCTGGTTCAACCGCTGTTGGCCTCGTATCACCATGGGCAGCAGCAGCGGTAGCAGCAGCAGCAGCAGTATCGACGAATGGTCCTCTTGATGTTGACTCATATTGCGATTTCGAACGCATGTCCGCATCACAAGCAGCAGCTTCAGCAGCAACAGCAGGCGTGTTTGCCAGCTCCCCTCCTGCAAGCTCTCCCTCACACTCCCCTTCGCCTCAGCGCCATGGCCGCTCGCGCTCCTTTGAAAACGTGCTCACCAGCCCCACCGGCCGCACCCTCTCCCCCTCGCTCGCGGCCCCCCGCCCCCCCTCCATTCCCCGCCGCCTCTCCTCCTCCACTCAGGCTCGCCCACGGGCAAAGCAGCCGGGGGGTGGTAGTGACGGGAATATGGGGATGTGGGGAGGGGATGGAGACCTGGGGCAGGGATAAACGTGGGGGGATTGTGGAGGGGCCAGGCTCTAGGCTCGTGGCTGCGGAGTGGGTGTCTGTGTGAACATGTCATCCTTACTGCTAAGATGTCCTTCCTTCCATGCGCTCTCCCCCCATCTTACTCCTACCAGTATTTGTGCTAGGATGGTGGGTGCCATGCTGGTGTGGGTGTTGCTTGCGTTAGGCTGTGGTCCGGTCCTCGTGTTAGCACTGATCGCACAAATGCCTCTAGGGGTCCGGTCCGGCTTCCATGTGTGCGTGGCATTACTGCCAGCCAGTGCTTTGCTTGTACACTGTGCGCTGTTGCACCATTGCTGGAGCCTCCATCACAAGAACGTGAGTTGTACCGGTAAGCTAACTGGTAGTGTGAGCTACCATATCATGAGGTGGTATTCCGAACTGGAGCAGAGCAGAACCACCCAGAGAAAAGCAATTAACATAATTACATGTTACCGGTACCATCATGACAGAGCCTCACAATGCTTCTGTAGAATACCGGTATTATGGAGAGTTGAATGGAGGCAAGTGTGCAAGACAGGCAACCATGCCACTACCTACAACACGGAACGACCGACATTTCACAACCAGTGGGCATTGCATTCCAGGTAGCATTAGCATAGCACTGCCGCATGGCTGCATGCATGCGTGCATGCAGTAGCAGCAGAACAAGGCAAGAGATACCGCTTGTGCTAAGCCCCACCCCATCCCAGTGGCATTCTACACGCCCAAGGAGCGCCTTTCGAGAACCAACTGCCACACTAGGGATGGATAGCCCTAATCCCCTGCGATGCGAGGTCCTAACCCCATGCTATGCGAGGCCCTAATCCTAATCCCACTTTCAGAGGCCCGTCCCGGCGTCCTCCTGACTCCTGTCCAGCACCTAAGTGCCGGAGCGGAAGCGCTTCTCCAGTCGTCTCTCTCTCGAGCTGCTTTTCGAGAAGTCCCCCAACCCAAACTATCTCTCGAATCCCATGTGGGGTCCAGTCGAGCACCCGCATGCCCGGCCGGCGGAAGGGCCTCTCTCCAGGTTTGAGAAGCCCTTCCACAGCCCTCTAAGGCTTCTCCAAACTCAATCAATCCCATGCGATGCGAGGCCTTCCTTCAGATGCCCCTCCCGTCCAGCACCTGCTTGCGACTGCTGGGGCGTAAGGGCTTCTCGTGCTGCTTTTCAAGCGGTTTATTCAAGAAACCAACCAACCAACCAACCAACCAACTAACTAATCCCACGCGAGGTCTTCCTTGAGGGGTCCATCCAGCACCTGCGTGCCGGGGCGGAATGGCTTCTCGAGCACACAGTTGAGGTACACGTGCTCGCCCTCGCGCTCGCCCGCGTCGTTCTTGGGCGAGTAGTGCCAGTAGCGCTTGCTGTAGTTGAGCACCTCAATCAGCGCCACGTACGCCGGCATCTCCACCTTGGGTGCGTAGAACATCTCCAGCCACAGCAGCCCGCCTGGCGGCGACATGGGTGAGCGAGGAGGGTGAGTGGGGCATGGATGAAGCAGGAGAGAGGGAGAGTGGGAGAGAGGGGGCTGATCAGCACTACTAGGTGCTCGTCCTTGGGCGTGTAGAACATGTCCAGCCACAGCAACCCGCCTGGCAGGGACGCGGGCGGTGTGGAGGCAAGCAAAATGCGCAAGGGATGTGGGGGGTTGGTGATTTCCGTGCCATCTCGGACCATGACAGCCCACCTGGCAGAGACACAGGTGAGAGAGGAGAGTGAGTGGGGCATCGAGTAAGTGGGAGAGAGGGAGAGAGGGGGGTGAAGAGCATGAGGTGGTCTTCCTTGGGCAAGCCTTGCCATGCGTGGGGACAGGGGTTGGGTGGGGACAGGGATTGGGTTGGGAGGAGATCGTAGGGGGTTGGAGAAAGGGAGACAGCGCATCGTGGGCGCTGAAATATCGTATCACGGCTGGTAAGCCCACACATCATGGCTAGTGACTCCAGCGGGGTTGTCAGAACACAGAGCAGTGGCACATGCACACTCTGACCTCCTGGCAGCAGGCACTGACCTCCTCTGAGCACGCGGTCCCACTCGAAGAGCATCTCCTCGAACTCCAACATGGGCAGGTACTTGACACTGTTCACCGTGTGCACTATGTCCAGTGTGCCGTCGTACAGCGGCAGCCGCGCCTGCCAGGGGTGGGGGGGGGGGAGGAGATGAGAGTGTGGGGGCCAAGAGGAGTTGGGAAGGCCACGGGCAGTTGTTGAGAATTCTCAAAAACACCCTGCAAATGACTCGACTCTGCTGTTGACGCTGGCCAGTTCACCGTGAGCCACAGCCAGCCCACCGTGCCGCCACGCAACGGCAATCGTGCCTCACAGGGTAGGGAGGAGAGGAAACAAGAGAGACGGGCGATGATAGAGGAGTGCGTGTTGGGCACAGGAGGGCCGTGGGGTGGGGAGGGCATGCTGGCAGAACTCGTTGCCGTCTACATATGGGCACGAGGCGCCTCAGATGTGGGCAGTAGTCGATCGATGCTGGCCTGTTCACCGTGCGCTCAATGCCACCGCGCCGCCTTGCAGAGACAGCCGCGCCTGGAGGGGTGGGGGGGAGAGGAAGCGGGAGGGGCAGTGAGAGTGGGTGGAAACAAGCAAGGAAGGAAGAAAAGAAGGACGGACGGACGGCAGTGGGAGAAGGCAGGCATCACCTCCCCCTCGCATCAGCCACCTTGTGCGGCAAGCGAAGCGGAATGGGCCCCCTGAGCGCAATGGCCTCCATGTACGGCAGCCCGCCCGCCCACCTGCCCACCCATGCCCGTGGCTTGTTAATAGGTCCCTCAATAAAGACCCGCCTTGTGCGGCGAGTGCAGCGGAATGAGCCCCCTCAGCACAACAGCCTCTGTGTAGGGCAGCCAGCCCCCGGCATGCCCACCCGCCCACCCCTGCACGTGGCTTGTTTTATTTCTCCCTCCCTCACAGCCTACTTTGTGCGGCAAGTGCAGCGGAATGAGCCCTCTGAGCGCGATGGCCTCCATGTAGGGCAGCCCGCCGGTGCGGTTGGCGGTGGTCTCCACGTTGTACGCCGTGGTCATCACTGTCACGCCGTACCGCGCCATGTGCGCTGCAAAGCTCCCCGTGCCGCCGCCCACGTCCAGACCCAGCCTGAAGAGGGAGGAAGGGAGAGGGAGAGTGGGGGGAGAGGGGGGAGGGGGAGCGGTATTTTCAAGGTAAGGGGGGATTAGGGTTGTTGTGCAAGCTCCCCGTGCTGCTGCTCATGTCCAAACCCAGCCTGCTGTAGTGTGAAGAGTGGGGGGAGGTTATGCTCCCACGGGAAGGGGGGGTTAGGGGTGGTGTGCGGGGAGGGGGGGGGGGGGGGGGGGAGATATGAGCCACGTCGCAGAGCCACTGGTTGGACAGACACAGAGGGAGGGTGGAAGAAGGGGTGGGGAAGAAGGGGAGGAGGTTCTTCCCCATGAAGTGAAACAGCGGCCAAATACTCACTCATGTTGTGAGCTTGCAAAGGAGGCCTCCCTCCCTCCCCCCCGTTCTTCCTTCCTCCACAAAGATATGAACCACTCACACCATCGCCAGTTACGCTGGCGAATATGAAGAGACAGGCAAGGAAGTGCCTCGGACAGTGTGTTTCTTGCTCGGGGGCGAGACCAATTGTAAAACCAGCAGTGAAATATGAGAATGAGCAAGTTCACGGACGAATGGGGACGTTGGACCGTTCGATCGTCTAGAAGTTCGGATCCGACGGTTCAGCGAGTGTATTACTAAATCTACCGCTGTAAACGAAGTGGAATTTGGCTGTGCAGGAAAATTGGATTCTGCACCGTCCGATGTAAAACGAACCTCCAGACTGATGTGCAAAACCTATCGCGAGCCACCCTTCCCCAAACCTGTTTTTGGTTCGGGTGTTTTGCCGAAACAAAATGGTCTCGCCACTGGCGTTTCGTTTTCGTCATTTTTTTTATACCTCGCCTACCAATCAGAGTTTACCTGCTCCAACCAAGTGTAAAACTCTAGTAATTATGAGACGGGGGCTTTAAGATCCCCATCCCCTCTCCCCCCTCCCGATTCCCCCTTCCCTCTTCTCCCCCGCCTCCCCCCATCTTCCCCCGCTCCCCCCCACACTCCCCCCCCCCCCACCTGAGCGAGCCGGGCTTCATGGCGATGACAGCAGCCATGGTGATGGACCCCCTGAAGGGCGCCTTCCAGCGGTTGGCTTCCAGCGTCATGTTGAAGCAGTTGCGGCAGTCGCCCTCGGCGCGCGAGTTGAGGCACGCAAACGACTTGCACTGGTGCAGGTCCCACCGCACGTTCGAGTCCATCAGCGCGCCCTGCGAGAGCAGCGACTTGGGCCGCGCTATGGGCTGGTGGGGAGGAGAGGGAAGTTGTGGGGGGGAGTAGGCGGGAGTGGGGAGGGGAGGTGTGGGCAGGTGTGGGGAGTTGGGGGGAGTGGGCCCTGGGGGTGTTGAGTCCAGCAGCGCTCTGGGGAAGAGCAACTTGGGCGCGGTGGGCCGGTGGGTTGGTGAGGGGAGGTGTGGGGAGGTGTGGGGTGGTGTGGAGAAGGGGGAAACAGGAATCCATGAAACGGGCAAGGGTCATGGGCTTTAAAATGCGCCTCAAAGAAAACGATGCACGCATGCACATGCGCGCGCATGCTCGCACTCACCTCCTGCACGGCCATGGGTGGGCGTGATCTCATTTTTTAGGCGCCTCAAAAATAGACTCCTCCTCACGCACGCACGCACTCACCTCCTGCACGGCGCGGGGCGTGATGGTGAAGCAGCGGCGGCGCGGCAGCGAGAAGCAGCTCTTGATGAACATGAGGCGCTGCACGAAGAACCAGTCGTGCGGACACTCCCCCCGCACCGTGTAGTTCAGGTACCGCCGCATGTCCTCCACCGTCGCCACACACTCGTAGCCCTGCCGTGTACACACGCACACATGGGAGGGTGGGTGGTTGTGTGGGTATGTCTATGTGTGTGTGTGCCACATGTCCTCTGTCGCCACACACTCGTCGCCCTGACACACAGGACAGGGAGTGAATGGTTGGGTGTTCGGGTGAGTGAGTGGGTGGGTGGGTGGGTGGGTGGGCATTTGCGCACAAGCATCGGGCAGTAATGGCAAATGGATGGTGAACGGATGGCAAATGTCGCGTTTGACAATCATCCAACTCATTGCACACACACACCCACACCCACACCCACCTACACACACACACCCCCACACCCACACACACACACACCCACACACACACACACACACCCACACACACACACACACCCACACACACACACACACACCCACCCACCCACACACACACACCCACACACACGCACACACCCACACCCACACACACACCCACACAAACACACACACACACCACCCCGCATGACTCACATTCCACCTAGCCAGAGTCACATTCTCCCCCTCCCTGCTGCTAGCATTCCCAGCAACAGCAGCCAGCACAGCGTCATTCGGCACCACCGGAAAAACCGTCGCCCCGCTCCCCCCGCTGCTGCCATCCGTCCCATTCCCACTCGCAGCAGCAGCAACAGAGGCGTTGATCGCCTCTGCCGTTGCCGCGGCGATGACTTCGGCCAGGCCTGAGATGGCGCTGACATGCGTGCCGTTGACCAGCGCTTCCGGCACCACGGGACATGTGTGCGCTGCCACCACCGTGCGCGCGCCCTCCACTGCCTGCCGTGGGTGTGGGTGTGTGGGTGTGTGGGGGGGAGTGCGTGTGTGAGAGAGAGGGAGAGAGAGGCTATCAGACAGACAAATTTCAGAGAAGGCAGCACGGGACGCGTGCGGCTCGCCAGCACCATGTCCCCTCCACTGCGTAGAGAAGGCAAGGCAGCAGCGGGGGTAGCAGCGCAGCAGGGCTCACCGATTCGACTCAAAAGCACCACAACGGGGCTAGCTAGCAGCACAACTGGGCTAGCTAGCAGCACAACGGGGCTAACTAGCAGCACAACCGGGCTAGCTAGCAGCACAACGGGGCTAACTAGCAGCACAACCGGGCTAGCTAGCAGCACAACGGGGCTAACTAGCAGCACAACCGGGCTAGCTAGCAGCGCAGCGCAACGGGGCTCACCGATTTGGGGACGAGAGCGTTGTCCCAGACAGCGCGCTCTTTCTCCGCGCTCTCCAACCGAAGCTTCTCCTGCTGCAGAATACTCATCTCCAGCTGCGCAGGGTAATCGGGAGGAGGGGGAGAAGGGGGGGCGGGGCGGGGGAACAGGGGGGGGACGGGGGGGAGGAGCGAGGAGGGGAGAGTGAGGGCGGTGGCGGACGGCACCAACCGCTTCGGCCCTACTTGCAGGGTCACCCCTCCATGTGGGTGACCCTGCCTAGTTCCGTTCGTGATACTTTCCCCTGAGGGATCCTTTTAATGCTTTCCTAGCCTGCTGTACCCACCACCACTGCATCAACAACAGCGCAATAGGAGGACATGGGTGGGCCTTGCTGCTACTCCTCAGCACCTCACTATTCTAACTAAGTTATACACCACGGCATACACCTATCCTTCACCTTTCTTCCACCACTTACCTCCTTTTCCTTCTCGTCCTTCTTCCCGGCCCATCTTCTCCTTTTCTTCTCGTCCTTCTTCCCGGCCCATCTTCACCTTTTCTTCTCGTCCTTCTCTTCATGTCTATCCTTCTTCGTTCTTCTCCCCCTCCCCTTCCGCTCTCTCCAAAGCTCAATTGACCAGTGATCGTCGCCCATACAGGTAAACGGAAAAGCACTTTCCTAGCTAGCTACCAACCAGGTTCCCTACTTAAATTCCACTTTCCCGTTCTCTCAAGCGGTCCGTGTATTTCTCTCAAGCGGTCCTTGTATTGATTGGGAACGTTGTACAGACTAGGCATGCGGGCAAACTTGAACACATATCAAAGGTACGTGCATGCTGGGGGTGGGCAGCCGGACTACTGGAGCTTCCCGAGGGGCTCCGCTATGGCAAAACAGTCCCCTAGGCCCATGATGGCATCAGGGGTACCCACGGGGGGGTGCTCTGCCGGGGCAGCCTCGTTGACCTTCCCGAGGAAGGCCAAGGCCTGTGCCCGCTGGAGCGTGACGGACCAGCGCTGGCGGAACTGATGCAACAGCTTCGCCGCCTGGTAGGAGCTCGGGTCCGCGTTAAAAAGCTGTCGTGCCCGTGTCCGCCAGGAGCTTCAGAAAGCTGGGAACCTCGGCACAAGGGCAGCCGTAGGTCTCTACGGCCAAGGGGAAGAAACCGACGTAAGGTGCGCGGTTACGATAGTGGTAAATCTTCTTGTCTGCCTGCTCCCGGGCCATGTATCCTCGCCCCTTGCGTGTGTGCGGGTCCCGGGTGCTGATGGGATCCGTGACAGTGACGTCACAGATCCAGACGGCACCAGAGTCTCTGTCGCGTATAGCAAGGTCGGCCTTATGACCGTCCACCGGGCTGTAGATAGTGGTCTCCTTGGTGACGATGAACTCGGCATCCCGCGCCATGCGGATGCACTTGTTGCGAAGTGCATTGTGGGTATCTGTCTGGCCATGGCCCGTGCCGCAGCGGAGGAGGTGATTGGGCAGCCGAGGGTCAAGGATCTCAGTCTCGTCCGCGCAGTTGCAGTGGCGTGGGGCTGGGAAAGGTAGGCCGAGACGGAAGGCGAGAGCGATGGCGAAGTGCGGTGGACCGAGTCGGAGAGAGGGGAAGAGGGGGATGGCATGGATCCAATCCCCTGCCCCGTAACCCGCCAGGGAGAAGAGTCGTTGTGTGTGGCCGGAGCTGGGGTTCAGGTCCATCCCGCGGGACGCTGCCACCTGGTCCGCGTATCGTGCGGCTTGGACCTCGAGAGAGAGCCGATGCTAGAGTGGAGATCCAGATGGTTCCTGGCGTTCGGAGCGCAGGAGCTCCAGTGCCCGGGTCGGCAGGGCCGCCTCACACCCCGCCAGCCATGAATGGAGATGGTTGGGGCTGGAGAAGGGGGGGGTGAGGGGGCGCAGTGCGGACGCCAGGGGCCCATCGGTCGCTGCTGGCAGAGCGGCGAGGAGGTGCTGTGACTGGGTGACACTGGTTATAAAAGCTGCAGGGCCTTCGATGGGGGGGTCGGTGAGGCCCAGCCCGCCGAGCGAGGGCGGAAGGGAGGCCTGGGCCCAAATGCGCACGCGTTCGGTTTCCGCGCGAGGAGGTTGGAGGTTACACGCGCGGAGAAGGGTGTGAAATAACCCTCGTCCCCACTCGGACCACTCGGTCTGCGGGAGGAGGTCCAGGGGCATGGTGCAGGTCAGGTAACTGACCCGTCGCGAGATGCATCGCGTGAGGAGGAGGGACGCCGTTTGGGGGTCCATGGAGGCGATGGTGGTGAGAGGCTCGGCCAGCGAGGCCAGCTGGGACCGCAGGAAACTCGCGGAACCCCCCGCTGTCCCCACAAACCTCCCCAGCACCCGTAGCCCCTCGTTGTGGAAAGGGACGTCTTGGGGGAAGGACGTCGGGTGGGGGAGGTGTGGATGACCAGGCCCCACACTTCGAGGGGTTGTGAGTGAGGCCAATGGCCCCCATGGCGCCAATGAAGTGATGGAAGGCAGCTGTGCAGGCGGTGGGTTCGCCCACGAACGTCACATCGTCCGCGTAGGCGAGGCATAGGACGTCGGGGTGGGTGGAAGCCGTGGATTGAAGCGCGGGGTGGATGGCCGCCGCGAAGAGCAACGGGCCCATTGGGTCCCCTTGGCGGACTCCCCGTGCGCGCTTGAGTGGGGGGCTGCCGAACCCCTCGTCGAGGTAAAGTAGCGAGGGAATACCATACGAAAACTGGATGAATAGTAGTAGCGGGCGCAGGGGCGAGTTGCTGATGGCGGTAATAATCGCCCCGCACTCAACGCTATTAAAGGCGTTAGTGAGATCCACTTGGACGACCAAGGACCCGGAGCGTGCGGAGGTGAACGCCCGTGTGGCGTGGATGATACAGTGACGGAAAAAACTGTCCGGATGTTTGGCATTAATTAGGTTTTTTAGGCTTTTTGACCACGGTACATAAAGTCTTAATGTTTAATGGTGGTACGCTTTTGGAGGGGCACATAGTGGATGTGTTCACAGCACTTACGTCCATAGTAGTACACTGCATCTAACTTAGTGCCAAAAGTTATACAAATGGGTCATCCGGACAGTTTTTTCCCGGAACAAAGCGTAAACTTCCGACTGCTGCACCGTGATGACATACGCTTTGTCCCGGGAAAAATCTGTCCGGATGACCCCTTTGTATAACTTTTGGCACTAAGTTACAGTGGCGGATTAAATTGTCCACATGTTTTGCCTTTTTTGGCATTTTTATGAGTGCAGAGGCGTATACATTAAGCCTTAATGTACGGTGTGCATTAACGCTGAGAAGTTCAGTTAGAGCAGTCACTCCAGTGTTCAAACACCAAAGTAGTACCACACATGGTCCTTAAACTCCTAAGCATAGCATGGGAGAACATGTGGACAATTTGTACCGGAAAATGGTATCACACTAGATTCTAGGAAAACTAGTACCTAGTCCAGCGTCCCTTTGCCCGAATCACTGCCTTGATCCTCCTCGGCAGGCTGTCGATCAGGTTTGCACACACCTCCGGCGGTATCTTGTCCCATTCCTCCTGCACCCTCTCCCACAGCTCCAGCATTCCCCTTGGCGGCTTTTCGTACTTCCCCAGCTGCCTTTTCAAGTATGCCCACAGGTGCTCAATTGGGTTAAGGTCCGGGGAGCACGACGGCCATTCCAGCACCGCGTACTCCTGCTCCCCAAGCCAGTCTTGGACCAGACGACACCTGTGCTTGGGATCATTGTCGTGCTGGAAAATGACCTCTGAGGGGGAAAGCTTGAAAAAATCGATGGTCTGTTTGAGCTCATCTTGCAAGATGCTGCGATACAGCGGCCCATCCATCCTGCCATCTATCTTGCACATGAACCCCGCCCCCTCATACGTCATGCAACCCCACACCATCACAGAACCGCCCCCATGCTTAACTGTCTGTTGGACTTGGTGGCTCCGAAGGCTGGTGCCCTCGCGAATCCAGGCGTACGCACGTCCGTCGGAGCAGTAGCGGTTAATCTTCGTCTCGTCAGACCAAATCACCCGCTTCCAGTCCTCCAGCGTCCAGTCGGCATGCGCCCGCGCGAAGTCGAGACGATCGCGGATGTTTTTCGGTGAGAGCCTGGGTTTCTTGGGCTGATGCACGGCGATCAGCCCCGCGGATCGTAAAGAGTTGCGGACCGTCTTCGAGTCTACGGCGAGATCGTGCTTCTCCAACAACATCTTGGCCGCGTCTGAAGAGCTTTTCGCCTCGCCGCTAGTAATCGCACGTATAACTCCGCGCTGGAGACGGGTTGTGATTAAGCGGGGGCGGCCGGCCGAAGGCATCGTAGGTCGCACTTCCTCGCGACTAGTCTCCTCAGCGAGTTTCATACCGTAATCGTGCACGGTGCTCTTGCCTATGCCAAGAAGTTTCCCTATTTTCCTAGTCGAATGCCCCGCACGCAACATGCTTCTGATCCTCGCGCGCTTCTTCTCATTTAACGGCTTCATAGCGATGCGGTCGTAGGCTCGCTTCCGGACTAACAACTAAGCTAGGAACTGGTGCGCGTGACGATGTACACACTGAGCGACGGGGGAAAATAGATCTACTCTTCCGCTCGGTAGGAAATGTCCACATCGACAGTCGAGTAGTAAATTTCAACCCCACTTTCCGTTAGTGTCACAATCGCGCCAAGCAAGAAACGGATGAAGCAGAACTCAAAAACCGAGTAACAGAATGGAAAAAAACGGGTGTTACTATTTTCGAAACATGTGTTGCATAACGATACGTTTCAAAGTGTTAAACATCCGGGCAATTTAATCCGCCACTGTAGATGCAGTGTACTACTATGGACGTAAGTGCTGTGAACACATCCACTATGTGCCCCTCCAAAAGCGTACCACCATTAAACATTAAGACTTTATGTACCGTGGTCGAAAAGCCTAAAAAACCTAATTAATGCCAAACATCCAGACAGTTTTTTCCGTCACTGTAGCTTCCCCGCCGCTCCGGATTGCAACGCCGAACTGAAGAGGCAGGAAGAATTCTTGCGCGGGCTGGGTGATCGAGATGAGGGCGGATTTGGCGGCGAGGCGATGGAGGCACTCACCTATAGCTATGGGGCGAGAGCCCCCATCAGGCTTGCGAAGGGCTAGGAGGCGTGAAGCTATTAGCAGCAGGCTGACCTCCTAGGGCAGGTTACCAGCGAAGAGCAGCTGCACGATGTCATGCAGGTGCCTAGCGACAGTTGGATTGGTGAGCGAGGCGTCGCGAAGGTGCTCGAAGGTCATCCCCGAAGGGCCTGCTCCCACCCCATTTTCGCTTCGCGAAAGTAGGCGTACGAAATCGGAGAAGTCGAGTGTGGGTGGGTTGACGTCGTCCAAGGAGGGCCATGTAAGGTCCTCGATCAACGGCTGCGGGTGTTTGGACTTCAGTGAGTCGAGGACGTCTGGGGTTGACTCGCTAACTGGAGTAGACTGGAGCGCCAGCAGGGCACGGCGAAGGCTGCCTCGTCGCACCAGCCCCTCGGCTCGGGAGATTTTTCCGATGTCGTCGCGGACATGTCGTGGGGGTGCTGGCAGTGCGACAGCTGCTGCAGCGGACTGATAAAGGGCATCCCACTGGCCCGCGAGGAACTGCTGCAGGCGCTTCTTCATCGCCGGCCAGTCCAGTCGTTTGGGCGAGGACATGCGAAGTGTTAGGCGAGGGAGGAAGAGTAACAAACGCCAGCCCCCAATTGAAGTTGGATTTTTCGCGAGAAAAAGGAGGGGCGTCAGCAGTGCCAGCGCGAACAGCTGACGAATAGAGGGGGGTAGTCGCCGCGAAAGAGGGGGCTGGCGTCTGTCGCACAGCACCGTGATATCCCAGATGGTTATTTGGGCAAGTCGTGAAGCATCGCTGGCCAGCTCCTCCGGGGATAGTTGCATGGCTGCATGGGAGGGAACGTCCAACGGTGTCCGGGCATTTGGTGCTCCCACCTGTTCAGGGCCCCTAGATCTGGGAGAGGGGTTTCGGATCCCACTCCCCGTTCGTCTTGGTGCCCTTTCCCCCAGTGCCTCGCTGGACTCGTCGGTGGTAGATTCTTGGTGCGATTCCTGGATATCTGTACTATCTTGTCTTTCTTCCTCGTCAGTTGCTCCCCTAAGTCCCATCTCCCTTAAAGCCCGATTCGCTGCCTGCAGGAAACCGTTCAGCGGGCCGCCGTCACGAGCCAAGTCGCCTGTCCGTCCACGCCCACGCCCGCGCCCATAGCTTCCTCGGACCCTAGTGCCGCCATCCGCGCCCCTGCCGCGCCCCCCTGTCGCTCTAGCTGTCTCTCGCCGTCCGGTCCGTCGCGCGGAGGAGGCCGTGCGGGGCGGTTGGGCCTGCGATGAACCCCCCCTGGAGACGGAGGGTGAGGAGCGTCCCCACCGCGAGCGCTCCTACGATTTGGAGAGCACTGGGGAGAGTGTCCTCCGCCGAGATCGGCCGAGCTCCCCGCCGCGGTCAGACCACGATTGGGAGAGGGGGCTCCTTGCCCCATCGGCAAGTCGTCACCAGACCCCCGAGCGAATGTCGCGGCGGTCTGGGAGCGGCCACGAGACTCCACGGCGGCGCGAGCAGAAGACCGATGCGCGCGCGGGGCGTGGCCTGCAGAGTGCGGCGCCGCAGCAGCACCGCCCGCAGCAACAGCCGCAGCCCGACCCCCCGCGCCAAGGGACACCCCAGCACGCGGCCCCGGCGATGCCCATACTGCACCACCGGACGCCGCAGGGACAGCGCGGGCAGACCGGCCCGCGCCGCGGGTGGAGAGCCGGCGGAGGGAATGGTCGGGGTTCGGCTGCGGAGAGGCGGCTGGGTCGCGCCGCAGCGACCTTGGAGAGCCTATTCCGGTCGGTTGCCCCGGCTCAGCCCCTGCTCGCGGGTCCTCCACCGCAATATCCGCCGGCGCAAGTGCAGCCTCCGTATTCCGCACCGCAGCAAGTGCCCCTTCAACTCCTTCCGCCGCACGTGTCCACGGCGCAGCAGCCACCGCCATGCCAGCAGCACCCTCCGACGCCTCCTCTGCCTGTCCCTCAGCACCAGGCCCTACAGCCACCCCACTTCCGTTTCGCGGCGAACACACCCGCTGCACCAGCGGGTGTGCCGACCGTGGGGACACTGCCAAGTTGGCAGCCACCAATGTTGGAGACCTCGGCGGTGGGCTGGTATGAGGGCCAGCGGCCGCCGACGGCCCCGATGTCCTTCGACGCACGTGCTCCTGCGCCGTTTGTTCCCCCCCGTCGAGCAATGGCCTCGCCGACTGGAGTTGAGGGGGGGGCAGAAGCAGCGGAGACGGGGGGGGCGGAGTCCTCTGGTGAGGGCTCTCCGTGTCGGGGGTCGGAGCAGCGCCGCCCAGGCGGATTGCGGATGCCGCCGAGGGTGCAGGTGGAACGGTTGCGGGGGCGGGAGCGCCTTGTGGAGATGGCGGTCCCAATCGCCACGCTTCGTCAGCTCTGGCACGCGCGGCGGGCGATGGGGATCGCTGTGGGGATGCTGACGGACTCGCACTCAGTGCTACGGAGCTTAGCGAGCCCGTGCAGGATGCCTCATGATCCTCTTCACCGATGTGCGATGGCTGCAGCTGATCTCGCCGTCGTGTCGACGCGAGTGCAGCCTGCGCCCGCCCGGGGAACAATGTTGGACCCCCAACTGCTCGCCGTGATGCGTGCAGTATCGGCGAGCGTAGACTCGGCTGCAGCTGTAGACATCGTTGGCGGAGCCGTGTCAGCACTCCAGCTCCTGGTGGGCTATGTGACGGCGCTGCTGGAGGAAGCAGGGGCGGACCAACTCGCGTGACCGGCTCCCTCCGTACGTACGTGCGCGTGGGAGACGAGGTCACCAACGCGAGTGCCTCGGTACGACGGATTAGGCTCTCCATGTCACGGGTGCTTGAAGTTGGGCTTGTTGCTTGTTGGCCCCTTCGCTCAGTGGATGTTGTAACTTCGTGTTGTCGAAACTATGGTGAGATAATTGCCGCCCCTAACACGCGGCCGCAGGCCGCGCCGCGAGCGTCGGCGGCCGAAGGCCGCCGGCGCGAGCCGCCACCAAGGGAAGGAGAAAAAGAAGAAATCAAACGAAAAACAGAGAACTGAGGAGCCTGAGGGCTCTAAATACTAAGGGACATAGGCTCTCTCTCTCTCTCGCTCTCTCTCTCTCCTCTCTCTCCTGCCACCAAGGGAAGGAGAAAAAGAAGAAATCAAACAAAAAATAGAGAACTGAGGAGCAAGAGGGCTCTAAATACTAAGGGACATAGGCTCTCTCTCTCTCTCTCGCTCTCTCTCTCTCCTCTCTCTCCCGCCACCAAGGGAAGGAGAAAAAGAAGAAATCAAACGAAAAACTGTTTCTCTCTCTCTCTCTTCCTCCCTCTCTCCCTCTCTCACACCCTGTCCCCCTCCCCCCGTCTCCACATGTCTCCCTCCCCCCTCCGTCCGCCCATGCCCGTCGGCAGTGTGGTGCGCTCACCCGCAGGTTGATGACTTCCTTCTTCAGATCGGCGGCGCTCATGCCGTCCACGTCCTCGAAAGGCGCTGCTCCGAGGCATGCACCGCGCAGTGGGGAGGGCAGAAACAGGCGGGAGAGGCGGGAGAGGCGGGAGAGGTGGGAGAGGTGGGAGAGGTGGAGCAATGGAGGCAGGTATAGGAAAGTGAAAAAGAGGGCGGGTGTAGGAAAGTGAAAAGGAAGGCAGGTATAGGACAGTGAAAAGGAAGGCAGGTATAGGACAGTGAAAAGGAAGGCAGGTATAGGACAGTGAAAAGGAAGGCAGGTATAGGACAGTGAAAAGGAGGGCAGGTATAGGACAGTGAAAAGGAAGGCAGGTATAGGACAGTGAAAAGGAAGACAGGTATAGGACAGTGAAAAGGAAGGCAGGTATAGGACAGTGAAAAGGAGGGCAGGTATAGGACAGTGAAAAGGAGGGCAGGTATAGGACAGTGAACGACGGACAGTGGATCACTCCCCCAGTCCTCAAACCACCGCGCCACCTTAGTACCACGTGTTATGCGTACCTAATATGTTGCACCCACCTTTGCATTCAATGGCAAGGACCGTTCGAGAAAACAAGGGGAGGGTGGTGAGTGTGTGAGGAGGGTGGAGAAGGAGGGGGGGGGGGGGGCAGGGGATGGGGGAGGGAAGAGAGTGGCCGCAGAAGGGGGCCGAGACGGTTCAACGGAGAGATGCTTGAAGGGAAAGTTGGAGATGGAGAAAGAGAAGGAAGGAAGGAAAACGTGGTGGAATGGGGAGAGGGGAGAAGAACGATTGCGGTGTGGAAAGGTGGGGACACGAAGCAGAGCAGCAGAGGTGGAATGGCAAGCGAGGGGGGAGCGGGGGAGGGAGGCGGTGGGAGGCGGTGGGAGGCGGTGGGAGGCGGTGGGGGGTGGTGGGAGGTGGTGGAAGCAGAACAAGAACGGGTGAAGCGAGGCCAAGGAAGGGCACGGAGGCGGCGCCGAGAGGAGAAGCCTCGCTGACAGAGAGAGCAGCAGGCAACGCGCAGCAGACGGACGACTTAGCAGCAGCAAGACGACCCTAAGGCAGAGAGAGCAAGTGCAAGAGAGATAGAGCTGAGAAACAGAGAAAACAGAGTATCAGAGTAACAGCAGGTCATTCCCTCCCTCATGCCACACCCGATACGCCTCCCGTCACCCCTTCCTTGACCCCTCGGCCCTCACCAGGGGCGGTGCCGTTAGGGTTGGTTATAGTCCCCGTGCCCGTCAGTCGCACGAGCCTATCCTGGCACTTGTTCAGGTCCGCCAGCCCGCCCCCCTCCCGCCGCATGCGCTCCAGGTCGATCCGGCACAGCTGTAGCTCCGCCGCGTCGCGCACCAACCTGGCGAGACGCGCGGATCGGATAGGGGACGCATGGGGTTACGTGCGCGTGGAATCAGGTGCGGTTCGGATAGGTGGGAGCAATTCAGGAGGAGATTAAGGGAAGGACACGCGAGGCGGGAAATCGAAGCGGCGCGACCAGGCGCCGGCGAAAGTCTGGGCTTCTACGAGACATGCCGCTAGCACTCACGGAGTTGCGAGAAAAATTCGAGTTATACGTCATCTTAATGTCGAGTTCTACAATGCCTAGGGTTCGGGAGAGGGAATGGGATGTCTCCGTGCTGGTACGAGGGCTGCGGGAAATGTCAGCGGATGCGACGACAGCATGCGACGACATGCGACACAGAAAAGCAGCACAGGAGGTTTCGCGCGGACGCGCGGACCCGCACGCGTGGTGGAACGAGGAGAGGAGAGGACTTGTCACCTGTCATGGCCCCAAGGCAGTATGGCGCTGGGCGATTGTGACGTGGATCGCGAGAAGAGGTAGATAAGCATGAGCAGCGCGAGCGCCACTACGCCCACGAGCGCCTTGCCTATGTTGGTAGTGGGTAGCCGTAATTGCTTCAGTTTCTCCCGGATAATGCGCTGGTTGATCCCGTCAGGGAAGCGCGATGTTAGGAGGTTCGGCCTCGCAGCCATCGTGAATCGCGCGAAGCGGACGGGGGGACCTTAAGAATGTCCTTGTCGTGTGTTACCGCGAAGCAGGAACAATCTCGCGGATTGAAATTAAGCTTCTACTCATCCCTCGTTTCCGCTGAAAAACGTCGCAGGCAGCGCATCAAACCGAGTTTGGTAGGGATCGATAGGACAGGCAAATATGGGAGACCTGACTCCCTAGGAACGGAAAACGGTAGGAAATGGCTCCTATTCCATAAACGGATGTCTGTGGCTTGGTAGAGGTCAACTGCTGGAAACTTGAAGGGTGGGGTCCGAGAAACATGGCACAGCAGCAACACCTGACTGGATTTCGGCGGTGATTGTGGCGCATGTCCTACGCCCCAAGCCCAACGGCGCTCGCTTGTTTTACATTGAGGATGTAGGTGCACTTCGGTTTTTTTTATTTTTATTTTATTTTTTTTGTACCCGTGTTTAGGTCCTCCAGTCCAGTGTGTACCATTGTTTTCGCCAGGCTTATCTACAGTACAGTGTTAAAGGAAGCCGTCCACTGTACGCAAGGGCAGCTTTGATTTCATTTAGCTTATCGCAGATCCTGTTCGAAATCGGCTGGTCATCAACATCAGGGCTGGTCGTCAACAACTACGTTCAAGGTGATAGTCGTCCTTCTTGTGGGACACCAGAGTCACAATTCACAACAAAACAGGGGTTCGTTCAGGCACCCTCCCCACATCTTCGTTCGTGGCCCAACGAATTGTCCGTTCAGGTCTAACCGAACCACTCACGCCAGGCCTGCCCCGGACCAAACAAGGGAGTGAGGTTCTCCCCCTGATGCCGGAAGCGGGCTTGGGGAGATTTCAGGCTCGGCTCGTCGTACTTCTCCTGCCCTGACCACAAGGTTGAGGCTGACGAAGCATACAGCACTTATCAAGTGATAAGGAGGGCTTCATTTCCCAGAATCCTAGCCTGTCAAACCTTGACACTTCAGCAAGGCTTTGGATGAGTGATGTTGATTACACGACACGATAGCTTGACAAAAATAGCAACTTTGTACAGTCCGTGGTTCGTGATTCATAGTGCTATTTACCTTCCGACATCGTTTTGGAAGCCCATGGAAAACCTTGTATAAAGAATAAATCTATCAGAATGGATAGAATATGGCTCTAAAAAACTTTACCCGAGTCATCATTTCAGCAATTCCGAAGGTACGCAATCTCTCTCTACACTTATTCGTGGGTGTACATTTCGATCATCAACAAGGACATCCTGACTACTAGGCGGGCGAGTTTGGGGCTTTCCGAACCGTTTTCTGTTTGTTCTCTCCGAACCACCGCCCAGCCACCCCTCTTGTTCCAAGAAGCTCGCTCCGTGGGGCAGAGCCGGACCTACATGACCAACTTGGGCCTGCTTTCCACAAGGACAGCGCCGCTCCTAGCGCGCCCGTCGATCAACTGGTTCGCGCGAACTGTTCCCCTGCGCTTCGCCTGGCGCGTGGGCGCTAATCGTCGTTCATCTCCTCTGCCCCTCCTGATTTCATCCTTCCGCCGCTGTCTCTCTTCCGTCAGCCCGACTGATGCCAAGCCAATCAGCTCAAGCCCCTCACCTTGATGGGCAGCGCAGGAGAGCGAGAGCCAATCAGAACAGCAGCTCTTGTCCCAAGGTGTGTGCGGGGAAAGGAGGAGAGACGAAGAGGGGGTCATATCGTACAGAGCAATGGTGCCCTGCTGACCGTGTGGTAGTCCCACCCTCACTCCCAGTCCCAAGGTGGAATTTGTCAGCTGATCGTCCCTCCCAATCCGATCCAACAATCTCCCAATTCCCATTTCTCGAGAGACATCCAGTTCGGTCCTCCAGCGACCTCGTCTGGTGCAGAAATGGAGGGGTCGTTCTCTCTCTTCGTCCTTCATGCTGTCGATTTTCCTCGGTTTCATCAGTTCACGACCAATTCCATATCCCAATCGTTTCCCCATTGTACTACTAGGCTGCTTGCCTCTGATTTGAAGCACTTGCGTTTCCGTGGCACTCGTCCGAGCATGAAAGTTCTGCCCGTCAACTGCGCGGAGCGCAATTCGCACAGACCGCGTTCACCGACGATTAAGCGCAGCGACCTAGGACGCTAACAGTTCTCCGCGACACGGTCAGGCCATGAAACCAGCAGAAGCAATGGCGCCCTCATCGGTCGTATCCACGAACCTAATCTCGAAGCCACCTCATCTGACAGTAGCTACATTCGACCTCGTAACTAGTACCAACCCCGAATCCTTCTTGTCACCGCCTCCCTTCCTGCTCCCGCCGAATGCGCGAATCGCCGCGTGCAAACGAGACAATCATCCCTTCTCCGTCCGATCCCTCGCCTCCGCTATCCGACCGTCCGCAGTGCTCCTCCACCTCCTCCTCCTCTGCCTCGCGTCGTTCTCCCTCCACGTCGCCGACACGAACCGAAGTCTCTCACGCCTCTTTTTCCATCTGCCTCACGAGGATTCGACTGAAAGTTCCCTCTCCGTTGCAGAGAATGCTCCCGCTTCCCCCGCCGATGTGACGAGGTCCTCTTCAATACTTAGAGAGCGCTTCCCTCCCAGCTTGACGAACACGAGTCGCAGATTGACGGACTCGCCGTCCATGGCCGTGAAAGCCGGCGCTCATTCCCGGGGGATTTTTCGCCACTTTTTTGTCCCCTCAATGATACCAGCAGAGCGCGAACAGCGGCGTCCGACGCGGTGGTTGCCGCACTCTTTTTGGCCCAGTCCCGTGCTTCCACGTGGACAAGCGGCGGGCCGCCCGGATTCCGTGTCGTCAGCAGAAGCGTCGCGCGGCAGCATCGTCGCGGCGCCGTCGGAAACAGAACCCCCCCTGCAAACGCCGCACCGCCGTAATGACCTCAGTGATCCGAGGCCAATGGTAGCAGCAGCCGTCCTGGGACCGAGTTTAGCAGCAGGCACGAACCCGGCCGCAACAGCGGCAGCAGCGTCAGGGTATGATCAGGATGCGGTGGTAAGGCAGCGCGGACATGACCGGCACGGCGGGCATAGCGAGGAGCATAGAGCGCCGCGGCGACGTGTGCTGTTCCAGCGGTATCATCCCTCGAGCGTGTCACCTGCTGTGGCCGCGGCTGTGACGGCGGCAGCTGCTGCGGATGCCGAGGCTGCTGCTGCAGTGGCAGCGGCGGTGGCGGGGGTGGGTCTGGAGGGTGGGGAGGGTGACGCGGCCAGGGAAGCTGCAGCAGCCGCAGCAGCCGAAGCCGACGAGCATGCTGACCGCGTGGATGCTGCTGCTGCGGCTCATGCTGCTACTGCTGCTGCTGCTGCTGCCATCACTGCCTCTGCTGGGGTACCTGCTGCGTCTGCTGAATTTACTGGGCCTGGAGAGGCTCTGATCGGAGGGGTTTCGCCGGACCATGAAGAGAACGACCGACCGCAAGGAGCAAATTCTGATGCCGGGTCAGTAGACGGAGGACGAGGAGTAAAAACATCTTCCCATTCGAAGAGTCTCGTTTCGGAGGCAACAGCCGCTTCCTACTCAAAACCCTCCCCATCCTCCACCTCCTCCACTTTCTCCTCTTCCTCCTCTTCCTCCTCTTCCTCTGTCTCCGATTCCTTCTCTCTCTCCATCTTCACAGCGCCAACCGCGCACATGCTCGCGCCAGGCATTCGCATAAACGAGACCCTACTGCGTCGCCCCATCCTTTCCTGGCTGCGCCTGCGCCCCACGCCGCAGGTTTACCTGCTTGGGAACCACCCGAGCCTGCACAACCTGGCTCGGCAGTTCCCGAACCACGTCCACGTGGACTCTCGTGTGGAGAGCTCGTTCGACGGTGTGCCGCTGTTTAGCTCCGTGGTTGCACGGGCAGAGGCCGTCAGTGCTGCTAGTCATGCGAGGCAACGAGAGGCATCAAAAGGGAAGGGAAGTATAGAGGAGCAGCAGGAGCAGCAGCAGGTGATTATGGTGGTGGATTCCCGTGTGATTCTATTGAATGATGTCATGGACTCCGCACGCGCCCTCATTAGACTATCTGTTGGTAGAGGAGCACAAGGGGAGGGAGCAGGAGGAGGAAGCGGGGAACGTGGGGGAATGAGGGACGAGGTATCTAGGGTCGGCCGGACAAGAGGGCGGGAGCTGCTGGAAGGAGAGGAGAGCGGAAGGGGAGGGAAGAGGTGGGTGAGGAGGAGGGAGGGTGTGAGGGAGGGGGACCGGACGGGTGGGATACATGGGCGACAGTTGCAAGAGGGGGAGTCTGTGGAGGAGAGCGGGATTTTTAGAGTTTTGGATTTTGATGAGGAGGACGACGAGGAGGTTAAGCTGTGGATGCAACACCAGCAGCAGCAGCAGCAGAAAGAGCAGCAACAAGAGCAGCCAGTGCAACAGCAGCAGCAGCAGCAAGAACAACAAGCTCGCTTGAGCCTTGGGAGCAGCAGCAGCAGGAGTGGCAGTGGTGGCAGCAGTGGCAGTGGCAGCAGCGGTAGCAAGCAGCAGTACAGGCCGCATAGACCACTCCCATACAGCTCCCTACTGCTACCAGGTATGAAGCACGATATAGCAGAATCAGGCGGGGGTTGGGTGGTCGTAGCAGCTCCCAGGCTCCTCCGCCGCCTCCCTTTCTCCTTCGACCATCTCCCGGACCACATCCAGCCACGGAAGCACCGAGCCGCACAGGGTCTCTCCGAGCCTGAGGTTCGGGAATTTGTGGTTCGGAACTCCGTGGTCGAGTCTGGTTCTGGAGAGCTGGCGCTTGTGATGTGGAACCAAGTAGCGGGAGGCGAAGTGCCTCGCAGGGGATTACTCAGGGACAGCCCCGGGGGCAGCAGCGGCAGCAGTGGAGGCAGTGACAGCAGTGGCAGCAGTGACAGCAGCGGCAGTGGAGACAGCAGTGGCAGTGGTGACAGCAGTGGCCACATTGGCAGTAATGAGAGACACTTGTTATCTGGCAATCTTCCTCTCTTGCCTGGGCCCATTCCGCCCTTTGTGTGCGGCAGGGGAGGCCACTGGCAGTGGCTGCTGCGGCAGCTGGTGGTGGGGCGGGGGCGGCGGAGAGTGGCAGTGGACGGCACAAGTGCAGTGACAGCAGCCATGGTGACGCACACTGGCGCGGCAGAGCACAGCGAGCAGAGACACAGACAGCAGTGGCTGAATGGAGGGTGTGAACGGCGTGTGTGGGCGGGAGGAGGAGGGGGGCCGTGGCACTGTGAGGTGAACAGACAGCTGGAGGGGAGAGAGGCGGAGCAGCAGAGGCGGATGTTGGATGAGGGGGCAATGGGGCTGCTGAGCGACCAAAGCGGCCGCAGGGGAGGTGGTGGCAGTGGGAGTGAGAGTGATGGCAACGTGGCGGGTTCAGAGGGGAAGGAAGTTCCCAGGTTCTCAGTGGCGGTTCCTTCTGTCATGGACCTGCCCTGGGCCATCATGCCGTGCCATCTCAGCCTGGGTGAGTTCCTTCCTCATGCACCACCGCGTTTTCCCCTCTATTCGGACTCTCAAGGAGCAACCATTGGGAAGAAACCAGGAGTGAGTGAGTGCGTGCACGACACATCCTCGCGCGCACGCCTACCTGTCTGCTTGTTGGCCCACATTCGCTGCCCCCATGTGCGCTCACCCTTGTGCTTCAGTCCCAACCAACCGCCAATCTTGTTTCGCCCAACCTCGCAGAGCAAGCATGATCCCACCCAATCTTCACCTCTCCGCATTCTCCTCACTTTCTTCTCTCTTCACTGCTATTGCCCGGCACGGCACAGCCACTGTGCCTCACCATCTCTCTTCTCCTCCACGCCTCTCTCCACTTCCTCCCAAGCGCCATTCTCCTCCCCCAACCATTCCCCCCTAATTCCTCCCTCCTCCTCACCCCCGTCCCACATCTTCCCGCCAGCGCACATGTCTGAGGGAGCACCACATACTCGGTTCAGCCATACGTGGCAGCAAGTCTGTACTGGCTAAACACTCACCCCTCCCTCCCTCCTCTCTCCCCCCCATCCCCCACCCCACCAGCGACCACGTCCGTGTGCCTCCTTCCCCGCGTGCGCCCCTCCTCCTGCCCGTGCGAGCTCGCGCCATATCACCGACGCACAGCATCCGACGCCATACCAGCTCCCCAGGACCCTGCATACGTCACATGCAGCCTCCCTTCCAGCCACGCCTTGCGGGCCGACCATGCCGCCGCTGCCTCGTCCAAGCACGGCAATTCCACTGGCCCAGCCCAGCCCAGCACTGGCAGCAGCGCTGCAGCTTCTGCAGCTGCCGCCTCTGCAGTTGGTGCGGGAGCTGTGGTAGCAGGGCAAGGGGAGGGGGGATCGGAAGGGGAGGATGGGGGGGGAGTGAGGGTGAGGGAAGGGCATTCGCTGCAGGCGCTGCTGCCGGTGGTGGTGGACAGAAACGGGCTGGTGGTGCTGGTGGCGGTGGCGGACCGCGACCAGGACATGCTGCTCAGCTTCGTGTGCATGTGAGTCAGCACCAGCCTGGCCTGGATGGCCACCAATGTGCCGTGGATGGCCAGCAGCCTGGCCTGGATGGCCACCAATGTGCCGTGGATGGCCAGCAGCATGGCCTGTCTGGCCACCAGTGTGCCGTGGATGGCCAGCAGAATGTCAGCTGTGAGATGCCATGGACAAGTGCGTGAATGTGGCCATGGGAACAGGAATGGGAACGGGAATAACGCTGCCCTCATGCCTAATCGCCAGCCAGGCAGCACAGTCACATCAATCTCCATCCTGCCTTGTTTACCCTCTCCCCCTCCCATTACCATCTCACCCTCCCTTCCCTCTTTCCCCCCACACCCGCCACCCCTCCCCCCCATGCCCATCCCCATGCCCATCCCCATCCCCATCCCCGTGCTCATGCCCATCCCCCAGGCTGCGGCGTCTCAACATCACCAACTTCGTCATTGCAGCAACCGACCTTCCGATCCTCTCCTTCGCATACCTCCACTCCCTCCCAGTCTTCCACATCCCCTCCACCAATACCACTTCCTCCTCCCCCCTCTCCTCCTCCTCCACTTCCACCTCGCAGCCCTGCACTTCCCTCTTATGCCGGCACCGCCACTCCATCCACGTGCGCACGCAAGCAGCACTAGCAATAGTCCGCCTAGGCTACCATGTAGCCTCCACCCTCATCGACACCGTCTGGTTCCATAACCCACTCCCGGACCTCCTCGCGTTCGGCCCCAATGCCGTGGCGGTGCAGAGCAGCGTGACGGACGAGGGGCAGCCGGCTAACAGTGCGGAGGGCACGAGCACCATGAGCACGGGGTTTTTCTTTGTGAGGGGGGAGGTGAAGTCTGCTGCTGCGCTGGCAGCCGTGGTGGCGCATGCTGGTGGGAGCAGGATGGCCGAGCACCTGAGCTTCTTCCGGGTGCTGTGTGGGGAGAATGGGCAACTGCTGGTGAGCATGCAGGCGTGCAAGTGTGCAGGCGTGCAAGCGTGCAGGCGTGCAAGCGTGCAGGCGTGCAAGCATGCAGGCGTGCAGGCGTGCAAGTGTGCAGGCGTGTAAGCATGCAGGCATGCAGGCGTGCAGGCGTGCGAGCATGCAGCTGTTTTGCTTCTGCTGCAGTGTCTTCCTTACTTCCCTGGATTCTACTGCATTCTCTGCCACTCCTTACATCCGCGTCCGTCCCTTCTCCTCTAGACTGAATGATTTACCGGCCACTCATTCCGACTAATCTCTTTCCCTCTCATTTTACTCTCCTCCCCTCCCATTCAATCTGCTTGTGTGCATGCTCTCGCATGCGTGCCTTCTTTTGGCCTCTCGCCCTCATCTCCACATGCCATGCTCCCACCCTTCCATTGTCCAACCATGCCTCATGGTAGTCCATTCCATCTCTCCTCCCCCCCCTGCTCCTCCTCCTCCCACCTCCCCCCTCGTCCCCTCGTCCCCAGCTGGGTTCGGATGCCTGCAGGTCAGCATCAGGGGTGGAGACACGGCTACTGAACCGCCGCCATTTCCCAACAGCAGCCATGTTTGGCCTGTGGGACTCGGCCAATGTGGGGCTGGCGTGTGGGCGCATCGGGTGCCGGGTACTCCCCAGCGACCACAAGCTAGGTCAGTGCTGCTCTCTGGCTTGGCTCTTTTGAAATGGGGTGCGTCTTTCAAAAGTCCAGGAGGTGTTTTGCTATACTTGAAAATGGGAGGCAGGCCAGCTGGTATGTATGCAATGTGTACATCCTCACGAAATGGAGAGTGCATGACAAGGAGGCGTTTGGGGTGTGTATGCACACGCACATTTGTGTGAATCTCCTAATTCCACACATCATTCAAAATTTAGTGTTTTCCCCTCCTTTCGCCCACACACCCTCTCGAGCACCTAGTTCTCAACCCTACCAGTTCTCCAGGACCCTTATTCTCCTGTCGTCTACATTCCTCTGTGCCCTGCAACAGCAGGTAAGGCCGAGAAACGCCGACGGCTGCAAGAAAGCGGGCTGTGGTTTGTAGATTCGGCAACAGGAACGTGTGTGTATGGATAACATTCGTCTTTGTCTCCTTGCAAGTGTTAAAATGCGTGATGTCCTCATGGCTTATGGTTCCTACAGCTAGTGAAGTGATTAGTTATTTCAAAGGTTGATAACCTTCGCTATATGTGTATTCTGGAACCTTACGCGGATTGCTTTACATTTCTACAACGCGAACGCAAGTGGCTTCCAGCGCAGAACTTTCATCAAGCGTGTCTGTGGGTATTATAAAGAGCCCCTGCCCGGCATTTCTTTAGCAGTCTTGTTGGTTCTGTAATGGCTACTTGACTAGTGCGCATTGACCTGCACAAGAGCCTGCTGCCTCGTAGTTCCTTGAGCAATGTGCCATCTAGCGCGTTACTCCTCGAAACGCCTTGTTACCCCCATGGCGATGTTCAGTTGCCTGCTCAGCCTCTACATTTTCTCAGTAGCTTTACGTCCAGCTACGGCATTTTACCTCCCGGGTATGTACCCTAAGACACACGCGCCTAACGACACTCTGAACGTCAACGTTAACTCGTTGACGTCTAACGAGACGGGCTTGACGTTTGGCTACTACAGCATGCCGTTCTGCCAGCCGGAGGAGGGGATCCGACGGCTTGACGAGAATTTCGGGGAGGTCTTAATTGGCGATCTGATCGAGAACTCGCCTTTTAAGTTCCGCACGCTGGTCACGCAGCGCGCCGTTAAGGCATGCGATGTGGGTCCGCTGAACGAATCCGACGTGGAGAATCTCAAGTCCAAGATCGACGGCTATTATCACGTCAATCTCCTCCTGGATAATCTCCCGGTTACCCTTTTCTCCCTGGAAGACAATCCCGGGGACATCCTCACCGGCATCCCCATCGGCTATTATCACAACGGCCAGTACTATGTCTACAATCACATACTTTTCAAGGTCTTGGTGCACGAGTACCACGAATCTCCCGCGGCACTTGCCGGAATGAGCATGGGGGATTCCGCGGTTGACGTCTTTCCCCAAGAAGGCGGCTACACAGAAGGGCCTTCTCCTAGCAACGCCACGGCGAACGCATTTGTCGTGGTGGGATTCGAATCCGCGGCTTGCAGTATCCGCCGCTCGGCAGATCCGGCCATCCCACGCTACTCCACGCTCGATCCGATCGACTGCTTCAAAGGCGATCCGCAGCCCATAGCTCCCGGGGAAACCCTAGTCTTCTCCTTCGACGTGCTCTGGGAGAAGAGCCCGATCCAGTGGGCGAGCCGCTGGGACGCGTACTTAAAGATGCGCGGCGACAAGGTGCACTGGTTCTCCATACTTAACTCCCTCGTCGTGATCACCTGTCTGGCGGCCGCGGTCTTCGTGATCCTTCTCCGATCCGTGCATCGAGACCTCGCGAGGATCAACCAGAGGGACAAGGAGGAGGCCCAGCAGCTCGCGGACGAAAGCGGGTGGAAGCTGCTGGTGGGGGATATTTTCCGGTCGCCGCCTCACCCCGAGGTGCTGTGCATTCTGGTGTCTAACGGGTCGCAGCTGCTGTGCATGGCGGTGGTTACCATCTTCTTCGCAGCGCTGGGGTTCATGTCTCCTGCGTCCAGGGGCGCTCTGCTCATGGGCATGGTCCTCTTCTACCTGCTTCTCAGCGTCGTCGCTGGTTACATCGCCGCCCGCATGTGGGTAACGCTCTCTGGCGTCAATGTTACCAGTGCCAGCGCCACCAACTGCAGCAACAGCAGCAGCGGAGGGGGCAGCGATGGTGGCAGCAGTCTTATCTCAGAGGAAGCAGCAGCAGCTAGGGTTATGGCGATTAAAGTGGCATGTTTCTTCCCTGGCACCTGTGCCGTGACTCTGCTAGTCATCAACCTGCTTCTCTGGGGCACAGCTAGCACAGGCGCCGTTCCTTTCTCCCTCTTCTCCTACCTATTCCTCCTCTGGTTCCTCATATCCGTCCCTCTCACCATCCTTGGTTGCAACCTCGGCTTGAAGGAGCCAAAATTCGCCTACCCAGTTCGAACAAATCAGATCCCAAGGGAGGTTCCTGAGCCGAATTATGTGGGCCAATTTGGGCTCCAGGGCTATGGGAGCTACACCCCCTGGATAATCATCCTAGCTGGAGGCATCCTTCCATTTGGCACACTGTACATCGAGCTTTATTTCATTTTGTCATCGATGTGGATGCAGCGGGTGTACTATGGGTTTGGATTTCTCTTCGTGGTTCTCATCCTGCTCATGCTGGTGTGTGCCGAAGTGGCAGTGGTCTTCACTTATCTCCAGCTCACCATGGAAGACTACCGCTGGTGGTGGCGCAGTTTATTTGCTTCAGGATCTGTGGCGTGTTATGTGTTCATCTACAGTGTTCTGTACCTTCTGGTGGACCTGCACCACATGCGCAGCCTGCTATCGGCCACTATTTTCCTCTGCTACTCCCTGCTTATGTCCCTTGCGATCTTCTTGGCTACTGGTGCTGTGGGGTTCTTTGCGTCTGCATATTTTGTGTACTATCTCTTCTCTTCGGTCAAGCTTGACTGAGAATGCTTATTTACACTCATTTCTGTGGATTCAATTAATTTTATAGCATGTTCTTGTCAACTTATACATATGCTGTATGTAGAAGTAATAGGCTAGCCTAGGTGTGTGCTTCTAGTGAGTACAACCCCAACAGGTACATGTTCTAGGTTTCTCACACTAGTCCACTCATTCTCTCTTTCTAACATGGTATCATGAGTAGGTTTGGTTCCTCTCGCCCGCCCACGCTTCCGCCCTAGGCCCTAGCCGCCCTCGTGACCCGTCCCTAGCTGGCCCCCTCCCCCCTGGCCGTCCCGTCCGCCCCTAGCCGGCCCCCTGGCCGTCGCGCCCGCCCCTAGCTGGCCCCCTGGCCGTCGCGTCCGCCCCTAGCCGGCCCCCTGGCAGTCGCGTCCGCCCCTAGCCGGCCCCCTGGCCGTCGCGCCCGCCCTTAGCTGCCCCCCCTGGCCGTCGCTCCTGCCCTTAGCTGCCCCCCTGGCCGTCGCGTCCAACCCTAGCCAGCCCCCTGGCCTTCGCGCCCGCCCTTAGCTGGCCCCCTGGCCGTCGCGCCCGCCCTTAGCTGGGCCCGTGGCCGTCGTGTCCGCCCCTAGCCGGCCCCGTGGCCGTCGCGCCCGCCCCTAGCTGGCCCCCTGGCCATCGCGTCCGCCCCTAGCCGACCCCCTGGCTGTCGCGTCCGCCCATAGCCGGCCCCCTGGTCGTCGCGCTCGCCCTTAGCTGCCCCCCTGGCCGTCGCGTCCGCCCCTAGCCGCCCCCCTGGCCGTCGCGTCCGCCCCTAGCCGGCCCCCTGGCCGTCGCGTCCGCCCCTAGCCGGCCCCCTGGCCGTCGCGTCCGCCCCTAGCCGGCCCCCTGGCCGTCGCGCCCGCCCCTAGCTGGCCCCCTTGTCGTTGCGTCCGCCCCTAGCCGGCCCTCTGGCCGTTCGCGCGCGCTCCTAGCCGGCCCCCTGGCCGTTCGCGCCCGCTCCTAGCCGGCCCCTCCTAGCGCCCGCCTGGCCCCCTCTACCGCCCGCCCGGCCCCTCCACAGCGCCCGCCCGGCCCCTACTAGCGCCCGCCCGGCCTGTTACGCCCGCCCGTCCCACACCGCCCGCCCGGCCCCACCCAGCGCCTGCCCGGCTCCTGCGGCCCGTAGCTCCCAGTGCCTGCCCGGCTCCTGCGGCTCCGTGTCGTCTTCTCGGCACGGTTCCTCCGGTCTCCGGCCTCGTGTCTTCTGCTTTCCAGCGCTGGAGCGTCCTGCAGACGTCCCCCTGGAGCTGTGCTGCTATGTCCCTGTGCCGCTGTGTCATGTGGAGCTGTGCCGCTGTATCCCTGTGTCGCTGACCCTGCACGATGGCTGACTTTGTACTCCGCCTGGACGCTGAGGGCCATGCGGTTGACTTCGCCGCCTGGCTGTCCGATCTCCGCCGTCAACTCACAGGTCAGCGCCAGGATGGGCACTCCTTGGTTCTCCATACTGATGGCTTGCTCCCCCACCCCCCTGCACCTGCTCCCCTCCCTGCTGACCCCACCTCTGCTGAGCGTGAGACTTTCTCTGCTGTTGCACTTGCCTGTGCCGTCTGGGACTCTCGCGATGCAGTTGCTCAAGTCGCTATCAGTCACGCCCTCCCTGTGTCTGAGCGTTCGCGTTTCGCTACAGTTGATACAGCCAAGGCTTAGAAGCTGTTGTTGCTCACTATTCCACGCCTGGCTCCGCTACTGCAGGCCGCCTGCTCTTCCCTATGCTTTTCCCAGACCTTGCTTCCTTCCCTACTGTTGCTAACCTTCCCACTCACCTGCGTGCCCTAGAGTCTCGTTACCACACTGCTAGCACTGCTGCCCAGCTCGCTGTGCTCCCTCCCCCCTTCTGCATGACCCTCTACTTTATCGCCATGCGCCTGCCTGACCGCCTTGCTAGTGCACGCGACCACATCCTTAGCCAGCACCCGGGTGATCTCACCCAGCCAGCCTTTGTCACCGCCCTGACCGAGATCGAGACTCGCCAGCGCACTATCGCTCAGTCGAGCGGTGCGCCGGCAGTCTTTATCTTTCACGGCTGTGCCCCCTCCCACTGCACGTTTACTGACGTTTCAGCTGCGGTCGCCACTGCGACCCCTCTGAACGAGACTGCAGCTGCGGTACACCCGCAGAAGCGCTCGCGCCGTGCCGGTCGTGGCCGCCAGAGAGGGCGTGGTGGTGGAGCTGGTTACAGTAGTGGTGGTACCGGGGACAGTGGTTCTACTGAGGGGACTGCCTCCGCAAGTCAGGAGCAGCAGCCATCGCCCCAGCAGGAGCAGCCGCAGCAGTCGCAGTCGTCGCAGCAGCTGTCCCAGCCCCAGCCGTGGGCTCCCCTCACCCCAGGTTGGCCCGGCACCTCCGTAGGTGGTGGCAGTGGTGGCAGCCCGCGTAGCTTGGCGTCTACCGACAGCTCCGTTGGTGTGACCTGCCAGTACCAGCTTCAGACCGGGCCTCTCCGCGGCACTCTGTGCTGCCGCCCGCACCCGGCTGCCCGCTGTTTCCGCCGCCTCGACGATCTCTTTCGTCGTCGCTTTGACCCGGCCCTGGACCTCCCCGACTGGGACAGCCTGCTTCGCCAAGGCGTGCCGATCTTTGATTTAGACATGGATCAGATAGGTGCTGCTTTGCATGCCTTGTATGCTGACGCTTCTAGAGTTGCTGGATCTTATTACCATGTGTACTCTAGTTTAGGCGTAGCACCCTTGTGTAGCTTAGCCTCCCCTGCTGCGTCAGGCGTAGGACTACCTAGTTTGCCTAGCCTAGTTTCTGCACTGGCTCCGTTCCCGGCCTCCGCTACTGCCTCGCTGTCCTTCACTCTCGAGTCCCTCGGGCTCCCTTATAGGCCTCCACGTTCCCTCGTTCTCCAGGAACCTGGTTGGTGTAGGCCGTCTTCAGGACCTCGGCGTCACCACTACGTTCCCTGGGCAAGAGTGGTTCGCTGTCTGTACCGAGGCAGTCTCAGGTTCCCCCCTTGCGACGTTCCCCCGGGACCCGGTGTCAGGTCTGTTTACCCTCGACACCGCTTCCCCTCCGGTCGGTGCGTCCTCCCAGGTCGCTGCAGCTTGCTCGTGTCGGTCCCTCACACACCCGTCCCTTCTGTGGCACCACCGCTTAGGTCACCCTGCTCTCCCGCACCTGCGTCACATGTCTCAGCACGGTCTTGTCTTAGGCCTCCCCGAGTCGCTCCCCATACTTCCCCCCTCGACTGCGCCACCCTGCACGCCTTGCGTCAAGGGCTGGCTCCGCCGTGCCCCTCACTCCTCCTCGCTTCGCCCTGCTACTGCTCCCCTTCAGACCCTGCACCTGGACGTTTGGGGCCCAGCCCCCGACCCCGGACCGCGCGGTGAGCGCTACTTTCTTGTGCTCGTCGACGATTACATGCGCTACACCACGGTGTTTCCCCTGGAGCGGAAGGCCGACGTGCCCGACGTTCTTCTCCCGTGGGTTGTGGCTGCGCATCTTCACCGCGGTCTCCCCGTGTTGTGTCTCCACTCTGACCGTGGCGGCAAGCTCGCCTCGGGTCGGCTTGGACAGTTCTGTCGTGCGGAGGGCATCACCCAGTCGTACACCTTGCCGGACTCGCCACAACAGAATGGGGTTGCTGAGCGCCGCATCAGCTTGGTCATGGAGGTTGCTCGTACCTTCATGATTCATGCCGATGCCCCCCATTTTCTGTGGCCGTTCGCTGTTCGCTACGCTGCTCACCAGCTTAACCCGCGGCAACGCTCCCAGCGGCCGCGGGTTTCGCCGACCCTCCTTTGGACCGGGTCCCCCGGTGACGCGTCTGCGTTCCACATCTGGGGCTGCCTTGCTCACGTTCGTGCCTCTGGCACGGACAAGCTCACTGCCCGCACTGTCCTGTGTGTCTTCCTCGGTTTCCCCCTGGACTCGTCTGACAGGCTGTTCTACCACCCGCAGTCCCACCGCTTCCTCCACTCTTGTGATGTCACCTTTGACGAGTCAATCTCCTTCTACCGTCACTTCCCTCACCGAGGTCTCCCGGTTCCCCCCCCCTTGTTCCTGGCTCCCTCTCTCCCGGTAGCCCCTGCTCCCCTCCCGCCTCGACCTGCCCCGTCTGGTGTCTCCCATGTCACTCCCCTCCCATCGGTTGTCCCCGTTGAGGAGTCTGCTGACTCTGGTGGTCCCCCCGGCCCGTCCTTGCCGCGTCCCCCTTCCTCGGTGTCTCCATCTCTGCTGTCGCAGCCGCCGCCGTCGCAGCCGCCGCCGCCGCTGCCGCTCTTTGCCCCTGGGGGTGCTGGCGTTGAGGAGGGTGTTCGTCCTGCGGCCCCTGGCGTGGTCTGTCCCGACGGGCCTAGGGGTGCCGCCGGTGCTGGAGGGGGTTCTCGCTCTGGGGGTGTTGGTTCTGGGGGTGCTGCTGTTGCGTGTTCTCCCAACGGTCCTCGTGCCACTGCCGGTCCGCGGGTCGAGCACCAGCCGCCGCAGCCATCGCCGCCGGTCTCATCTCTTCACGTGCTCGGCCTTCCCTCCCCCGACCACTCGCCGGTGTCTCCCCCACCACCTTCTCACCTTCCTGTCTCCGGCCCGTCTTCCTCCTCGTTCCCCTTTTGTGTCCCCTCTGCTGTCTCCTGACCCTACACCTCCGTCCCACATTTGGTCTCGCCGTCCCTCCAGTGCTCGTCCCGTCTCTCCTGTCCTGCGCTCCCACCCTATGTTGCTCCGTTCCCACTCGTCTCGTCCTCCCCTCCTCCCCTCGCCTCCTCCCTCGTCGCTTGTTGTTGCACCTCCCCCGCTCTCTGACTACCTCCGTGCCCCTCGTCCCCTTGTCCCTCGGGTTCTTGCCTCTCTTGTTACAGACCCGTCTTTTCCTGTCTCGCGCCTTGACGCGCTTGTCGCAGCTGTCGCTGACTTCGCCTCTACCCGCCGCCTTGACTACGCTACCGCTCTGGTCTCTGACCCTGCGTGTCCTCCGTCCGTCGAGGGTGCACGTGCCCTTGGCAGTGACGTTCTACAGGACTAGCAATACGAGCTTGCTTTCCTTTCTGAGGCCGCTCCCCATCTCTGCTCCATGCTGTTAGTCCTTGAGGGTGACCCAGACGCCTTCGACATCCC